CTGTCTCTCTCTGCTTCTCTCTTATTTTCTCTCTGCACCTGAATAGCTCAAGCCTGAACAAAAAAAGTAAGAGTAACCAAAGGTCCCAGGACCAGCCTGCTTCCTAGACATTGCCCGACCAATCAGCGTCATGCATCTTATTTTACAGTTGACACACACACATTAACTGATTCCTTGCATGCTCCAACAGCATACAACCTCCCTGTTACATCAGCATCACTGGCTGCCCATCTGCTACTGAACAAAATTCAAAGTGCTGGCTTTAGCTTTTAAAGCCTTAAACATTTCTGGTCCATCTTACCTTTCTGAACATATTTCCCCCTATGAATCAGCTTGGGCATAGAGATGTGCCCTACTCTCAGTCCCGCCTCTTTCGCAGATGCAACAGGGCCTTCTCAGTGGTGGCCCTTTGGCTATGGAATTTCCTCCCCAGTGGTATTAGATCGGCTTCCTCCCTCCTGGTTTTCAGAAAGAAAGTCAAAACCTGGCTGTGAAACTAAGTGTTTGGGGAGTAGCACAACCACAGTGCAATATATATCCACAGAGCCAATCTAAACGAAGTAGCTTGGGCCATGACTGCGGGATTAGGTGCATCGTTTTAACAGTGTTTTACTAGTTTTTAATTGTATCTATTTGTTTTATTTTGATTTCAAGCTCAATCTTTTCTGTATTTGTCTGTTTTATGTTTTAATGCGGCATTAAATAATTGCCAAAACTGGAGACTGCTCTGAGTCACCCTTGGTGTGAGATAGAGTGGGGTAGAAATACAGTAAATAAATAAATAGTTCGTTTAAGTCAAGGGCAGATTTGTGGGTCAATATTATGGATTTTGCTCTGACCCATGGATAAGTTGAGTGAGCTAGGTATGTTTATAAGCAGAGGCTGGATGGCCATCTGCTCGGGGTGCTTTGATTGTGATTTTCCTGCATGGCAGGGGGTTGGGATGGATAGCTCTTGTGATCTCTTCAAATTCTATGATTCTATCAGCTGGTGCCAGAAGGAAGTGGCAGTAACAATGCTGTGGTCAGAGGTTATAGATGACCAGGAAGTAAAAGGGGGACAGCAGTGAAAATTGTGAAAAAGCTGAGTCTGAGATTTTTGGTGAGCATATTCTGCACTAGCTCCAAACCTCAGACTCACATTGAATGAAAAGCTTGCTGTATTCATGATGCACAGCTGTTTCCAGTGAGAAGTCCAGGGATTTTGCTTGTTTAAACCATCTTTGCCCTCCAGCTTTGCCCTCCGGAATTTGCAGGAGCCTCCACAGTACCCCGTGGCTGCAGGGCAATCTGGACAGATAAGATTGAGTCTGATTTAGTCCAACCCACTGTTCAGACTGGACACTTGCACGATCACTCTTTCCTCATCAGTGAATGCAAAAGAGAGGGATTGTATTGCTGCCTCTACTCTTAGCAGAGCTCTGTGTGAGCTCCTGGCCATTGTGGGTGCCTCTTTTGACATCAGAGCAAAGTTCCTGGATCACCAGCATGATGGGACATGGTCCCCCCTCATTCTTTCTTATTGCACAGGTACTCTCTTCAGACATTCACAGAGGTGTCCGGATAACCAGAAAATCTCCCCTCCTTCTCATTGGTCATGCGTGAAAGCTCCTCATATTCTCATTTTAGGACTCAGTGTTGTCAGGACATCTTGATTTCTGTGTTTTCACTTCTGTACAGCCCCAATGGTAGTCATAGATGTGGTTCCATATTACCACAGCATCTGGTAGAGCCTCATTTGAAACATCCTCCAGCATCCCAAACTTGCCAACCTTGAGCAGCCTTTATCTCTAGCACATCAGCAGGACTATCACTAAAAACAGACTAGAGGGTTTCATCACCAACAACCCCGCCTTAGTCTGTGTGCTTTTTAAATCACCTAGCTTAATGAGATCTGGAGAACTCAAAAAATTGCATCTGATTTGTAGGTTTTTGAAACTAGCCTAATAAAAATTTCAACCAGATATGGATTTTGGGGACTTTTTCTTCTGTCCCACAACATAGTTATCCTTTATTTTGACTGAAAAACAGTGCCTCCAATTGTTCAATAGTAATGTTTGTATGTTTCTGCATGTGGATGATGACAATAGAAGGAAGAAAGCCCTTAATGGGGTGGGGCGAATACGTCAATAAAAAACATTGCTGTTTCTTGCTCATGCACTGAATTGGTGTTGGACTTTTATTTCAAGGTTGTACAACAGTGACAACAGAAAGAAGACAACAGTTTATTTCTCCAAAGCACCAATAAGATTTGAGCCTTAGTGCTTGTTATACTTAGCAAATTGCAGTTTTGTTTACACTGCAGGCAGGCAGGGTTATGGTCAGCCAGTCCCGTGTCTTTGCCAATCAGTGGTAATCTCTGTATGCTTATTGCATTAGACAGTCTCAGGTAATCCAGCAATTAATGTCACAACATTTTGGAAAGGGAAACAGAGGGGTGCATGAAGCAGTGTGCAAGATATAGAGAATTCCAGGTCCTGGGTTGACCTTGGTCCTCCATAAGTCCCAGTTCACCCCACATAGGACCCAATCCACCCCACAAACAGCCACACTCTATTCTTAGAATCATAGAATCATAGAGTTGGAAGAGACCTTGTGGGTCATCCAGTGCAACACCCTGCCAAGAAGCAGGAAGATCACATTCAAAGCACCACCAACAGATGGCCACCCAGTCTCTGTTTGAAAGTCTCCAAAGAAGGACATCATCACTTTGTAGCCTCCAAGGACATATATGATTTTCCTTCCCACAGTTCTTTTTAAAAAGTATTTTCAGATTTTAAAAACACCAATCCATTGTTGTGGTTGTGTGCCTTTAAGCCATTTCTCACTTATGGCAACCCTACGGCAAACCTTGGTTTTCGTGGCAGATTTTGTTCACAGGGGATTTGCCTTTTTCTTCACCTGAGGGTGAGAGTGACTTGCCTAAGAGAGCGACTTGCTTAAGAATACACAGTGGGCTTCCATGTCCCAGCTGTTTCTGCTACTGTTCAACCCAGAAACCAGTACGCCATGCTGGCTCTCTACCCCTCCATTACAATGCATCAAATTAATATAATCAAATATCCCTGTCTTTAACATCAGATAAATCCATCCATATCAGATGCAGATGGTATTTCTCCATTCTGGTTTGCAGTTATAAACAAACTACTTGTCCAAAACTTTAGTTTAATCATCAACAGTTGTTTTGCTAACACAAGAAGTTTTTTTTAAAAATTTGGAGACAAATAAGCACACTAGTGGATAGAATGGTTAACAGGATTATTAATGAGTAGGCATAATTTCCAAAGATGGACGGCTTAACAGAAATTAAGGAGCAAATGGAAATTTACATTTAAACCAAGCCCCACTGAGCAATGTACACCCCTATTATGTTGTTGATAGTCCCAGGAAATAAATTCCCAGCTAACTCTTTTGATATGCACTGAACTCTTCCATGCGCAATCTTGGAGACTTTTTTATACACAGAACTTTTAATCTGTCTGTAACCCTCCACTCTCAGTCACAGCTAGGGCACATCAACGCTGACCCTTAAATTGGACCCAATATAATGTGATAGATTGCTCTCAAGAGATGTCCATAGAGGGACTCCCCTAGCCACTGCGACTACCCTAAATGCCTCCTCTCAACCACTCATGTTGCAATGGTTTCTGACCACAACATAGCAGCTACCTGTTCCTGGTTACGTACTCTGACTTTAGTCGGAATGACAGGGCACCCCGTGAGAGGGGAGAAGAGGAAACCCCCTGTCTCTCCACCTCATTTCCCAGCACTCTTGTTGCCCACACTGACATCAGGGTAAGCAAGAGGAAACAGATAGGTGCCATGTTGTGGCTAGAGAGAAGGGTGCCATCCCATGTCCCCATGCTCACTGAGTCTAGGGAACATGAGATACCAGTGGGGACAGATGTGGCTGGCTCTCTTTGGGAATCAGTGCAATTGTCCCCACTGGCCTTAGGTCAGGGGACAGCCAAAATTCCAACTTTGAATTTGGGTTTTCTCCCAACATTTGGTAGCATATGGCAAGGTTGTATTACAGTGGCATTGCTCCACATTTCCATGGATCAGCCTATGCAACATGTAGATATTGTGGGCTTGATCTTCATCTATATTGACTTAAATGGTCAGTGTACATGAAGTCCTAGAATAAAGCATCACAGACATGGAAAGAACTGCAAGGGCTATCTAGTCCAACCTCTTACTGTGCAGGAATACATAACTAAAGCAATTTTGAAAGATGACCATTCACCCTCTGTTTGAAGACCTCCAATGAAAGAGCTTCCATCACCTATGAGGCAGTCTATTCCACTTGGCTTTTGTTCAGTGGATTTCTTATTTATCCCTATGTCAGTCATTTGATACCAGTTACACATTAACACTTAAATGACCTTACTTTTGGTATTTAGTGTCTTATTAGTTGTCTATTACCTTCAGATTTTTGTGTTTACAGTATGGGCTATTGCTCCTTAGAACCTCAGTGAGCATAATTTTCTTTAACAAGGAATGCAACCAATTTAGATGTGTTTAAAACACAAACCTTGCCTTCACAAACTACATGGGCAAATTCAATGGACATGCAAGATAATAGACAGGTGGTAAATGCATTTTAATAACTATCCCTGATTTTGGGTTGTATTGGTAATAGCAGCTACAACACATACCAAGATGCTAAACAAAACTGAGAACATTCTGAACCAACCACAAAGCAAAACCCTATTATTGTTTGTTCATGGGGGTGGGAACAGACTTTCAAAGAGCTGAAATTAAACTATTGCATGATACAAAACCCACTGGAAGAAAATCAATCCATGCTGCCCTCCCAAACAGCAAACACATGTGAAGCTTGATGGTGTTCCAGTTTGTGCTCCATATTGTACACAGAGAAGCAATCTGGGCCTCCAGAGTTTGAAGCGGGTTGATTGGTGCAAAAGAGGGATGTGTCAAGAAAACTCCACCTCTGTCCAAACTCACCAAAAAAAGAGAAAAGATCAAAGAAGGGGGCTGATCCTTCAGTGGCTCATTAAACTTTAAATAACTGTGTATGTTGTGTACACAGTCATTCCTGCAAACACAGGCGGATCACATTTCCCTCTTCCCTGCAAGCAAAGCCTGATAATTTGGGTGAACATGGCTAAAGAGGTCCACATCATGAATGGAGATGCTTTACAGGTAAGTCCCTAATAGAAATTGAACCTGGTTACAGGGTGGCATATGAATGCAACGTAAAGTATGACAAGTAGCAGTTTGCTATTGGTTTTACACTTTTTCAACCTGTTCCTGTGTCTTTGACATTAGCAATGTCTTGATGTACAACAGATGTGATAAACACGCATCTTCTTGATATTATTGGACTGTAAGTCCAGGCCTTAATTTATATCGCCAAGGGTGAGGAATGATGGGATTTGCAGTCCAACATTTGGAAAGTCCCATGAGTGCAATGCCTAATGTATACCGATGTATATGTGATAACAATTCTCTCCTTTCAGATGAAATATTTCATTATTAATACCTGTATATTTCTGTTGTTAAATACATAATTCCTGAAAGTGTTTCAAAAGCTGTTAATGCTTCTCAATCCAGTTGACTTGGGAAAAAACAGAATTTAGTGCATAGCATTTTTCCTATGTGAAAAATTGTTATACTGAATTGTCTGAATGGCAAATAAATGATGGGGCCATAATTGGATACTTTCCCACCAGCCAGTAAAATACTGCTTTGGTAATGAGTTCACACCTTAGTGCAAAGTTAAAAACACTTCTCATCCCGTGACCACAAAAAGGCTTCTGAAATTCAAGAGAGATTTGTTCCCAACCTTCCCCTCTGAATGAAAACTGAGAGACTGGTGCAAGATTAATAGCACATACATTCAGAAGAATTAAAACCTTCTTGGTTGCTTCTAAGCACTTCCAGAGCTCAGAGTAATAATGGGCAAAAACCTTCCCTTTTCTCCAGCTCAAGTCAGAGTTGATGAAGACTATACATTTTAGCTGATAAGAAAATACATTCGAGATCTGTCGACCCCTGTAAATAAACATGCATGGCTTATTTTCCCTTCTCACTTCTGATCTTTGTTCTCCAAACAGTTAAAATGGTCGGGTGAATTTGTCTCTTGTTCAGCTATAGTTTGTGCTAAAAAAACAAAAACAAAACCCTTTCCTGGGCTCCAAGTTAATAGGTTGAAGTTAGAAAGACCTAGACCAGGTTTTCTCAACCTGGAGGGCCAGGACCCGGGGGGGGGGGGGGGGGGAGGGGTGTCAGAGGGGTCCAAAGACCATCAGAAAATATAGTATTTTCTGTTGGTCATGGGAGTGCTGAGTGGGAAGTTTGGCCCAATTCTATCATTGCTGGGGTTCAGAATGCTCTTTGATTGCAAGTGAATTATAAATCTCAGCGACTACATCTCCCAAATGTCAAGGTCTATTTCCCCCAAACTCCATCAGTGTTTATATTTGGGCACATTGAGTTTTTGTGCCAAGATTGGTCCAGATCCATCACTGTTTGAGTCCACAGTGTTCTCTGAATGTAGGTGAACGCCAACTCCCAAACTCAAGGTCAGTGCCCACCAAACCCTTCCATTATTGAGTTGTTGTAGGTTTTTCAGGCTATATGGCCATATTCTAGAAACATTCTCTCCTGATGTTTCACCTGCATCTATGGCAGGCGTCCTCAGAGGTTGTGAGGTTCCAGTATTTTCTGTTGGTCATGGGAGTTCTGTGTGTCATGTTTGGTTCAGTTCCATTGTTGGTGGAGTTCAGAATGCTCTTTGATTATAGGTTAACTATTCTCAGCAACTACAACTCCCAAATGACTAAAACAATCCCCTCCCCAACCCCACCAGTATTCAAATTTGGGCATATTGAGTATTTGTGTCCAATTTGGTCCAGTAAATGAAAATACATCCTGCATATCAGATATTTACATTACAATTCATAACAGCAACAAAATTACAGTCATGAAATAGCAATGAAAATAATTTTATGGTTGGGGTCACCACAACATGAGGAACTGTATTAAGGGGCCATGGCATTAGGAAGGTTGAGAAACACTCAACCTAAACTATGTATTATAAACGTAGTGGGCTACTTAATTAATAAACTCAAGTAGTATACAAGATATCAAATCCACATGGAGCTAGGACAGATGCCCAAACAAGTATTTATTGGATTTAAGATTTTCCAAATAATATTGTGTAACCCAGCCTCAGTTTTTGGGTAGCTTTGGTGCCCCACTAATTTCTTAGCAAGGCTGTCTAGTGAATGGTTTTTATTCATTTTTCATGCCAACGTATTTCCTAATTCTCATACCCTCAAACCAAGATCAAAGTTTCCATAATACAGAGTTTGGCACATGTTTGCATTTGTTCCATTTTCCTCCTCATAAGAAACATTTCACAGGAAAAGAATTCTGATAGTTGGTACCATTAGGGTAATAGGAAGAATTGTTGATGTTATGTCTCTTCAAGCTGATTGTAATTTATCCTAGAGTTTGATAGGCAGGATTGAGTCAAAGAAGGTCTGCATTGTTTTTCTCAAAAGCTGAGAGAGTGAGGCTTGCCTAGTGTTTTTCCTTGGCTGAGCTGGGATTTGAACCTTTGTCTCTCAGAATGCTGGTCTGGAAGTTATTCCATTACATCATACTCTTTACTGACACTTGTTAGCCATCTAGTAAGAGTATTTCATGTCTGGCTCAGCACACACTGTTCCAATTGCTACTGAACACAGAAGAGCCAGTAGTTAGAATTAGAGCTTGGAAAAGTTACATTTCCCAATGACAACTCCCACATCCATCCCAACCCCCGTCCATCCAACATTACCACCGACTACAGAGGATGGGGGAATCTTATGGGTAATTCCCCCAAAAGAGCTTTTTTAAACTCTATCACAAATATTGATTGTACCTTTAATACATGTAAACAGTAGAATAGGGTAGTGATTTTACTGCTGGACTATAACTCTGGAGTTTAGGGGTTCAATTTTCTGCTTGGCCATGAAAATTCACTGGGTGACTTTGGATGAGTCACAGACTCTCAGCCCTAGGAATAAGTTCACCTTAGGGCAGTGTTACTTCATAACGGTAATTTTGCTACTGTTATGAATCGTAATGTAAATATTTAATATGCAGGATGTATTTTCATTTACTGGACCAAATTTGGCACAAATACCCAATTCACTCAATTTTTATTTATCATATCAGGAGCAAACCAAACAGTTGTATTGCATTTTTAACAAACAAACAAACAAACAAACAAACCACAAAGTTTGCAAGCTTGGTAGTTGATTAAATGCCCTTTGACCAGTAGCGGGCCACTTGGAGTGCCTCTGGTGTTGCCGCAAGGAGGTCCTCCATCATGCATGTAGCAGGACTCAGGTTGCATTGCAGCAGATGGTCTGTAGTTTGTTCTTCTTCACACTCGCATGTCGTGGATTCCACTTTGTAGCCCCATTTCTGAATACGGGTGGAGTTGGGGGGATTGATTTTGTCATTTGGGAGTTGTAGTTTCTGGGATTTATAGTTCACCTACAATCAAAGAACATTCTGAACTCCACCAATGATGGAATTGAACCAAACTTGGCACACAGAACTCCGATGACCAACAGAAAATACTCGAAGAGTTTGGTGAACATTGAACTTGAGTTTTTGAGTTGTAGTTCACCTACATCCAGAGAACACTGTGGACTCAAACAATGATGGATCTGGATCCAACTTGGCACAAATACTCAATATACCCAAATGTAAACACTGGGAGAGTTTGGGGAAAATAGACCTTGACATCTGGGAGTTGTAGTTGCTGGGATTTATAGTTCACCTGCAGTCAAAAAGCATTCTGAACCCCACCAATGATAGAATTGGGCCAAACTTCCCATAGAGAACTCCCATGACAAACAGAAAATACTGTGTTTTCTGATGGTCTTCAGTGACTCCTCTGACACCCTCCTATGACACCTCCCCCAGTCCTAACCCCCAGGTTGAGAAATGCCGCCACCAGAAACACAACAACAATGGAAAGTTTCCTTGTTCTTATTGCTGTAAAAAAGCTATTGTCAGAACTTAAAATTTGGAATATATTTTATGGATGCATCATCACCTACATTTTGAGAAGATCGCCTCTAAAACCCACTCATCCAACTTAAACAATTGGTAGACAGTCAGAAATATTTTATACCTCATGTAAGGCATTCAGACATTATCTACCATTCAATCTAGATGAGACCTTTCTCCCACTCCCTTGTGCTCTAGCTATTGATGGTACTAATTTTCAAGACATGGAACACAGTTAACTATGGATTTATCACATAGGAATCCAGCTACATTGAAGAAAGCAGTACGAAGTGGGATGCCATCTCTTTGATCTTTTCTCTCAAAGAAGAAGTTGGAGCTTTAGCAAAAGTTCTCCGCATATTTGAGGTACATATTTTATTAAAATAAAATAAACCAATAATGTTTCAGAAGCAAAATCTTCCTGAGTTGTGTACAAACTTTCCCAAAACACCGCTGATTTTGTCATGCATCTACTTTAATAGTCGCAAAATGACCGTTAATTGTATTCCATTCTGTCTTGCTGGAGATGAGCCAGTTATTTTGAAACACCCTGCTTTGCATGTGGCTTTAGGCTGTTTTCTTTAATAATATCGTGTCTGCTCTTAAAAGAATACATCTGGAAAGGAAAAATTTTAAACAGCAGCAAAATGTGGAATTAAACTCTGCCCCATTTTGGAGGAATAAATTAAGCTAGCAAACAATAGAGAAATACAGTAGGAAAAATACCAAAAGCTGTACCAAGACATCTTCTATTTGTTAACCAAGGGGAAAGTTAATTATTACCACAAAGAATGAGAATTCTAAAGTGCTTTTCCAACATAAGAGGGGTTTGTGTGTGAAAGTGAATAAGAGAAAGAAAGAAAAAAACAGACAAAAACAGAGAAAGAGTGCATGCACTTACACACATATGTTTGAATGCACTGTAAAATTATTGCACTGTAAAATGCTCAGTGCTATGGAATTCTGGAAGTTATAGTTTGGTGATGCACCAGCACCTTTTGGCAGAGAAGCCCAAAAATTACATCTGCCGTGGTTCCATAGCAATGAGCTGTGGTGATTGTCAAACTGCATTAATTCTCAGGTGTAGATACACAGCCAAGGGCCCCCTGGTAGCACAGTGGGTTAAATTGCTGAGTCAAAAGGTCAGCAGTTCAAATCTGGGGAGTGGGTTGAGCTCCCACTGTCAGCCCCAGCTTCTGCCAACTTAGCAGTTCGAAAACATGCAAATGTGAATTGATCAATAGGTACTGCTTCTGCAGGAAAGTAATGGCACTCTGTGCACTCATGACCTTGGAGGTGTCTATGGACAAAAGCGGCTCTTTGGCTTAGAAATTGAGATGAGCACCACCCCCCAGAGTCGGACACAAACAGATTTAATGTCCAGAGGAAACCTTTACCTTTACTTAGATGCATTGCTAGAAACGAGGAAGCATTTCACAGGCTTCTGAAAAGTCAAAGGAAGAAGTTTCAGGTTCTAGACACAATTAATAAAAGATAGGGAAATGGGGCAGGGAAGAGGAGACTTGAGACCCCAGGGCTTTAAGCAACCAATGGCCCAGTTTCCAAAGGCCTCCTCAAACAAACAGTTTTGGTGCCTATCAAGAGAAATTTGTCCTGTTCCTTCTCTACCCGTTCACCCATTTGGCAAAAAGAAAGAAAGAAGGGATGGGAGAAGATGAGAAAAGGGTCAACCAATTGCAATTGACTTTCAGGCTCCACCTAATATTCATCTGGTACTACCTGCCAACTGTGAACCCCATCACTGGTAGCATGCTGTACCTTACAGATTACTCCAGTGAGCTATACCACCTTTAACACAAAAGAGCACTCTGACGTCTAATAGAGGAGCATCCACTGTGCAGGATAATGTTTAACCAAGGTTGTTTTCCCCTCACTTCAAAGCACTTTTCTATCTCTTCAACTATTTTGGATGCACTAACTCCAAGCTGTGTTTGCTTTAGTCAGTGAAAGCATTCTAGCCAGCTTGAAAAAGTAACACATGCAGCATGGTTTGGCAGCAGGAACACTGGTCAGTAATATTGGGTCCCCTCCAAAGGGGAGTGGTGTTTGTATATCGATACAACTAGCGTCATCATTTGCTGTCAGGTATGTTTTTCCTTTCAATTAGCTAATAATTAACTGTATTTCTGAGGTTGGAATGTATCTATAATAAAGAACTGCATTCAACTGTAGTTCCAACAAGAACAGACCAATAGCAACAATGGGATTTATATAACTGCTGGCTTACTGTTCAATAATTGGTTCAATCAGTTCATGTCACTTGGGATTAATTGGATTCAACTGACTATTAAAACATGTTGTTGTTCATTTGTTCAGTCGTCTCCGACTCTTCGTGACCTCATGGACCAGCCCACGCCAGAGCTCCCTGTCGGCCGTTACCACCCCCAGCTCCCTCAAGGTCAGTCCAGTCAGTGAGAGGATGCAGCCTTGCCGTACGCCTTTCCCAATCTTGAACCAGTCTGTTGTTCCATGGTCAGTTCTGACTGTTGCTACTTGGTCCTTGTACAGATTCCTCAGGAGAGAGACAAGGTGGCTTGGGATGCCCATCCCACTAAGAACTTGCCACAATTTATTATGATCCACACAGTCAAAGGCTTTAGAATAGTCAATGAAGCAGAAGTAGATGTTTTTTCTGAAACTCCCTGCCTTTCTCCATTATCCAGCGGATATTGGCAATCTGGTCTCTCGTTCCTCTGCCTTTTCTAAACCCAGCTTTTACATCTGGCAACTCTCGCTCCATGTATTGCTGGAGTCTTCCTTGCAGGATCTTGAGCATTACCTTACTGGCATGAGAAATAAGGGCCACTGTACGGAAGTTTGAGCAGTCTTTCGCATTTCCCTTTTTTGGTATGGGGATATAAGTTGATTTTTTCCAGTCTGATGGCCATTCTTGTGTTTTCCATATTTGCTGGCATATGGCATGCATCACCTTGACAGCATCATCTTTTAAGGTTTTAAACAGTTCAGCTGGGATCCCGTCGTCTCCTGCTGCCTTGTTGTTAGCAATGCTTCTTAAGGCCCATTCAACCTCACTCCTCAGGATGTCTGGTTCTAATTCATTCACCACACCGTCAAAACTATCCTCGATATTATTATCCTTCCTATACAGATCTTCTGTATAGTCTCGCCACCTTCTCTTGATCTCTTCAGCTTCTGTTAGGTCCCTGCCATCTTTGTTTCTTATCATACCAATTTTTGCCTGAAATTTACCTCCAATGTTTCTAATTTTCTGGAAGAGGTCTCTTGTCCTTCCTATTCTGTTGTCTTCTTCCACTTCCATGCATTGCTTATTTAAAAATAGTTCCTTATCTCTTCTGGCTAACCTCTGGAATTGCGCATTTAACTGGGCATATCTCCCCTTATCCCTGTTTCCTTTTGCTTTCCTCCTTTCTTGGGCTACTTCCAGTGTCTCAGCAGACAACCATTTTGCCTTCTTGGTTTTCTTTTTCTTTGGGACGTACTTTGTTGCCGCCTCCTGAACAATGTCTCGGACCTCTGTCCATAGTTCTTCTGGGACTCTGTTTACTAAATCTAGTCCTTCAAATCTGTTCTTCACTTCCACTGTATATTCGCTAGGAATGTTAGTGAGATCATATCTAACTGGTCTGTGTATTTTCCCTGATCTCTTTAGTTTTATTCTAAATTGGGCAATAAGAAGTTCGTGATCTGAGCTACAGTCAGCCCCAGGTCTTGTTTTCACCGACTGGATAGATGTCCGCCACCTTTGGCTGCAAAGGATGTAGTCAATCTGATTTCGGTGTTGACCGTCTGGTGAGGTCCATGTGTAAAGCCGTCTTTTAGGTTGTTGGAAGAGAGTATTCGTTATACACAGCGAGTTTTCCTGGCAAAATTCTATCAGCCTGCGTCCCGCTTCATTTTGTTCTCCCAGACCATGCTTGCCTGTGATCCTGTTGTCATTTGACTTCCCACCTTGGCATTCCAGTCTCCTGTAATGAAAATAATGTCTCTTTTTGGTGTATTATCCAGTAGGTCCTGCAGATCCTCATAGAACTGATCTACTTCTGCTTCTTCAGCAGCTGTGGTTGGGGCGTATATTTGGATCACTGTAATGTTGAAAGGCTGTCCTTGCACTCGAATTGAGATCATTCTGTCATTTTTTGGGTGTATCCAAGCACCGCTTTAGCGAATTTCTTATTAATTATGAAGGCTACTCCATTTCTTCGATGTTCCTCTTGTCCGCAGTAGTAGATCTGGTGGTCATCTGATGTGAAGTGGCCCATTCCAGTCCATTTCAGTTCGCTGACCCCCAGAATGTCTATCTTTAGTCTTGACATCTCGCCAATAACTACATCCAATTTGCCCTGGCTCATAGATCTTACATTCCAGGTTCCTATGGTGTGTTGATCTTTAGAGCATCGGATTCGTCGTTCACCTCCAGTACCGTCGGCCGCTAGCCTTCCTTTCGGCTTTGAGCTAGCTGCGTCATCACATCTGGGGCTAGTTGAACTTATCCTCTGCTCCTCCCCAGTAGCATTTTGGCCATCTTCCGACCTGGGAGTCCCATCTTCCAATGGCATACCGACATATCTCTGGTTGTACTGGTCCATTTCGTTTTCTTGGCAAGGATACTGGAGTGGTTTGCCATTGCCTTCCCCAGGGATCACGCTTGGTCTGACCTCTCTGCCACAACCGTCCCGTCTTGGGTGTCCCTTCACGGTTTCGCTCATGACATCATTGAGGTGCTCAAGCTCCAGCGCCCCGACAAGGCGGTGATCCTTTGCTGGAGATTAAAACATAGGCCAGCATTTTATTAGGTGCACATGGATTGTGTGTGTGATCTTTTGCGGTTATAATATCTGAGCTTACGACTATAATTTGTTATTAGTGTTAATAATGCAATTGCCCTTTTCTGTATTCACTTCCTGTCTAGTCCTCTGCAACAATGCACATTATACACATATCCCTATGCTTGAAATGTATATTTCATGAATCTAAGGAAGTGAAATCCAGAGTGGAGTTTGGTTTGAGTGTTGAACTGAGGGCCCTTCCACACAGCCCTATATCCCAGAATATCAAGGCAGAAAATCCCCACAATACCTGCTTTGAACTGGGTTATCTGAGTCCACACTCAGATAATGTGGGATTTTCTGCCTTGATATTCTGGGATATAGGGCTGTGTGGAAGGGCCCTAAGACTACTCGACCATGAAACCCACTGGATGCTCTTCCTTTCCCCTCAAATAAAGTCCCATGTAATTGGGTACCATAGTTTGATATGCCATGTTAGCCATCACTACCGCTAAGTGGATGAAGGCAACCACCTTAGATGGCAAATGTTTGAGAAACAGCATTAACAATCTTACTAAGGCTGGTGACCTCAGTGCAGTAATGCATGATATCACCCCCATGGACCTCGTTACATAGTAGACCACAATATTATATCTAAAACATTAAAAATTTGAAAAACCAGTAACTAATAAAAATAACCAGCAACAAACACAACAGAGTGAAACTGCAGAACATGCAGGCATAACATTATTTTTTTAAATATATTTTTATTGAAGATTTGTATGCGTAAAATAAAATATAGAAAAGGAAAAAGGAAGAACGATAAAGTGATAACCCCAGTGCCAAAAAGAGGGGAAGAAAAAGAAAAAGAGAGAGAAAAAGAAAAAAGAAAGAAAGAAAAAGAAACCTATATAATTCTTCTGTACTTCTGGTCTTCTTCTTTGCTTGTTATATTCTTCTGTCCTGAAGTTAATAAAATAAAATAAAAATAAATAAAAGTTCAGTTTCTACTTCCTCCATTTGTAGTTGTATCCTTGACCGTGTATTCAATTGTTATTTTCTTAGTTAAATGATTATGGTTTTCTTCTCCGTTTTCATGCATATTTTAAACGATTTTCAGTCTGTCTTTTTCTTCGGTATTCCTTGATGTCTTGCTAGGAGTTGAGTCAATTCATCCATGTTCCTTACATCCATTATTTTCATTTGACAATGTTCTTTCGTGGGAATTTCTTCCAGTCGCCAATTCTTCACATATACTATTCTTGTAGCCTGACTTATGTTTTTACTGCTGTTGCTTTGATTTTATTGCTGTTAATGTATTTAAAATTGTACTGTGTTTTTGTGGCATTGAATTTTGCCTTGTAAACTGCCTCAAGTCGCTAGAAGGCTGAGAAGGCTGCAATTTACTTACTTACTTACTTACTTACTTACTTACAAATAAAGTAAGAAGGTAGGTAAGTAAGTAAATTGCAGACGTAATTAAATAATTTAGAAGTCCTCTATTTGGGTCCATTTTCAGATGAGTTTGGACAGGTAAGTTGGGCCAGAACTGTTTAGGGCTTTATAGACCAGAGCCAGCATTTTGAATTGTGCCCGGTAGAAAACTGACAGCCAGTGGAGCTGGCGCAGCAGAGGAGTTGTATAGTCCCTGAGTGCCACTCCTGTTAGCAACCTGGGTGCCATCCATTGGTCCATTAGAAGGTTCCAGACATTCTTCAAAGGCAAACACATAGAGCGCACTGCAGTAGTCTATATGAGATGTAACCAGAGTGTGAGCTACCATGGCCAAGTCAGACTTCCCAAGGTATGGGCACAGCTGGCACACAAGTTTTAACTATGCAAATGCTCCCCTGGTCACCGCCGAGACCTGGAGTTCCAGGCTCAGCAATGAATCCAGGATCACACCCAAGCTGCGAACCTGCGTCTCTTAGAACCAAGGTTTCCCAGTTTGAATAAAATGAAGGAAATACAGTTACTGGAAGGCTTCATGATTTGTTTGGTCAGTTGGGCAAAGGAAGGATCAAAGAGGTTGTTTGTGTACCCCAAAGGTTCATTTGTTTCTTGGTTTATTTACCTCAAGTAAAAGTCTGAATGCAGTCACTACATGAAGTTAATTAAGAACATGGAGATGGTTACAATCAGCTAGGTCCAGTCAGCATTGCATAGCTTTGCCACTCCTGGAAAACTCTGTGATGACATCTATTGTAAAGGATGCAAATGAAGCTGTTTAGATGGGGCACAGATGTCAAGAGAAGCTACATTTAGTAACAGAGGGGTGAACAGAGGACACTGTGATGGCCCCAAAAGACAGCTCCAGTCCCAACCTGTCTAGGCACCTGCATTGGATTCAGCACATAACTGCTGGATCCAGCACTAGTTAGGGGGAAAATTAGGCCAGAATCATCTGCTCTATGTAGATAAGCCCTAGGACTTGGAGGAACTACACAAGACCCTCAAATGTAAAGATATATCATTAAATACTAAAGTGACGACATGTTATGTGGTCTAAGCAGCTTCACAGTATTTTTGATAGCTTCAGCAAGGATGGCAAAGAGGTCAAGGTCCCACTAGAGTACTGATGGAGTGTACATGTCTGTAAATAACTTGGTTTGAAGGAGAATACTTTTCCTTCTTTCACAGGTGCACAAAGGCATCTAACTACATGCAGAAGATTATCAGAGTAAATAAGTGGCCAGGAAAAGATCTGTGCCAAGCTACAGTCTGAAGGCCTTTGGGCACCCATGGCAAAGGCTTTGCACAAGGAAATGCAAGCGAAGCTAATGAATGAATAACCTGTGTGCCAGATCAATCCCCAAAGTACAGAAAAACAGAATGGTTTCCAATTGGCAAGGGGTCAGGCAAGGTTACATAGTATCACCCTATCTAATGCATATACTGAAAATATAATGCATTAAGCAAGATTAGATTTGGAGGAAGGAAGCAAGAAAATTAATCTAAAATAGGCAGATGACATCATATTACTAGAAGAAAATAGCAAAACCTAGGAACGATTACTGACTAAAGTAAAGGAAGAAAGTGTAAGAACAGGTTTATATTTGAACATTAAGAAAACAAAAATAATGACTACAGATAAGTTACATAACTTTAAATTAGATGATTAAGACACTACAGTAATTCAAGATTGTCCATATCTTGGCTCAGTCATTAATCAGAATGGAGACTGTAGTCAAGAAATCAGAAGATGACTAGGACTTGGAGGAGAAGCTAAGAAGGAACTAGATAAGATCCTAAAATGTAAAGATATGCCATTGCATATTTAGGCATGGACAGGTTAGGACTGTCCTGTCCATGCCTTTGTATTTCCAATTTTTATGTATTGTTGTGAAAGCTAAAGAGTAAAAAAGCTGATTGAGAGAAAAGCAATTTATTTGAAATGTGGTGCTTGAGAAGAATTCCACAAATATTGTAGACTGCTAAAAAAACCAAACAATAAGTGTGTGCTAGAGCAAATCAAAACTGAATTCTCCTTGGAAGTCAAGATACTTTGGGTATATGATGAGAAGACATCTCTTGCTCAAGAATATGATAGTAATTAGTAGAGTGGAGGACAGTAAGAAAAAAGGAAGACCACATTTCAGGTGGACATTCAAGCAAGAAAACCATGACCCAAGTCTCCAAGATCTGAACAGAGCTGTAAATGACAGGGTGACTTGGAGGTCTCTTCAAGTCACCCTATTCATAGGGTCTTCATAAGTCGACGTCGACTGAATGGCAGATAAGAACAACAACAAAAGGATTATCATTAGGATTCTGGCCATTATCTCCAGTATAAATACTTAACTCCCAGGGTAGACCAAAGAATCATTACTTCGAACAGACCGTGGCTTACTGGGTCTGGTCTCAATCATAATAAATTTTTACTTAGAGTGACTGTAACTTTCCCATCCTCTGGAGTCCCTCAGTGATTTGTGAGTACCTAATTAAATGGCTCATACAATGCATTGTCTGTTTGCTATACAGACCTTTAGAGAACTAAAACAACTTGACCTAAGTGCTTAGTTGAGTTAAATGCGTTCTTAGCATGGAGGCTGGTTCAATTAGGAGAACATCTTTCCTGAGACACAGGATTTGAAAGCACTTCTGACCTTTTCAACTTCTTGTATTGGTATGTGTGGCCAAGCAATTTCCGTTCATCTGTAATGTCCATTGTGAAGGACATAAATAAGTGACTGCTCCATGGTATTCTTTCCTTACTTGGAGGGTAACATTCCAGCTTTCTGTGTCTCTCTCTCTGATTGTATATTCTCAGCAATGTGTAGAGGTCTATGGACATATTCTAGGGTTAGTGTCTCCCGCCCTCTGTTGTATGGATGGACAAATCTATCAGTTTTCTTGCTCCTACATTCAAATTTTTTCTTTTAAAAATATATCATTTTTTCTATCACAATTCTGAAGAAATCTGAAAATTTGGGAAATATTTTAAATTAAAATAAATAATAAAATTATATTCTTAGCCTTCTTCACTGACCAATTTCAATGAATCCAAATATTCTTAGTGTAGGGATGATCACACTTGACCATCCTTCTGTATAGCTTTCATAGAAGCAAATATGGCAACCTTCATCCTTCACTAACATGGCAGAATGCACAAAGATTAAAAGTCAGACTTAAGCATTTGAAATCATCTGACTTGATGTGAAAATATGTCAGTTTTACAGTTCCCCAATAACTGATCTTCAAGTTTGAGGATTGACCTTTTGGTGAATTTATGAAGAATTTGTGAGGATTTGGATGATCCCTTATCATAAGGACAAATAAAACAAATAAAGAAATTATCCAGATCTTAAAGTAAAACGTTTTTCTCAGTCACTTCATGGGGTACCTTGAAAATAGTCACATATTGACCATGTTATTTTGTTCTAGGAAAAGGGGATAAACCTGACCCACATTGAGTCCAGACCTTCCCGACTGAACAAAGATGAATATGAGTTTTTCATCAACGTGGAAAGCAAGAACATACCTGCTCTTGAGAAAATAATAAGGACTTTGAGAGATGACATTGGAGCAAACGTTCATGAGCTCTCACGGGAAAAGAGGAAAGATGCCGGTAAGAATGTATTGTTGAAAACAATAAGGTTCCTTTCCAACAACATGCAAGTGCTGTGCTCAAATTGCCACCAGGATATTTTTTGGAGGGCTCAAATACCCATTTAAAGTCAACTTATGAAAGGAATTTGGTGAGGGATTATAATGGAAATCTGGAAGCATGGCCACTCCTGATGGAGCCCATCATCCTGTTTCCAACAGTGGCAAGATAGAAACTTCTGAGAATCCTTCACATGGGTCCATGGGACCATCTGTTTGCATTCAGCACTAAACATATATGATTTATTTATTCAGTGCAAAGACTAAATAGACAGGCACAACAAAATGATAGAGTAGTCCTCTGGAGAGAGCCAAACAGTTGCCAAAGCAATAATTCCTGGATATAGAGTCTAAATGCTCAGTACACCCTCTTCTTGATTTCATTCACATCCAACCTATTCTTATGAATACAGCTTTTTGGACAACAGATGTGATCCTAATAGGATTTTAGTTAAGGCTGACTTTCAGTGCTTTAGGTCTGCTGCCTCTTCTTCCTTCCTGGGAGGAACATGAAAGGGCAAGAATCTCTCCCTGAAGTAAATCCTGATAATCTCCTTACCCTTTCCTTTGTGTCCTACCCATGACATTGCAAAGGGAAAGGGAGAAATATTTGGAGGAATTGGACACCATTATCCAGGAAAGGAAAATGAGAGATAATACATTATTGGTTGGCAGGGAGTCATAGTCACCTAAAAGCAAAGATTTAATTACTTTTCAAGTTAGAAAGATTTTTAAAAAATCCTCCTTCTTAGTCATAATTTTACTACCTTCTTCAAAAGGGAAGACAAAGTTCTACATCATTGTCATTGCCAAGCATCTTGGGTATGTTTATTTGGCAACAGGAAATCAATGGGTCTTATTATTTGGTTAAGATTTGGACACTAATTAAGATGCACTGAGTGGCAGATTTCAGAATTGATGTAATTTTTCTCTCTTTTTTTGAATGCATTTTGAATGCACCTTTTTAAAAAAGCCAACAAGCTGCCCCATGAGCCTTTTTGGTTAAAGGGCAGCCTATAAATAAATCAATGAATAGAAAGATGTTCTCTTGAGTCTCTTTAAGAGAGAGAAAGCGGCATATATATGCATCTATATTATAATATAATAATACATATAAAGATAACCTAGAGCAGGCATGGGCAAACCTGGGCCCTCCAGGTGTTTTGGACTTCAACTCCCACAATTTCTAACAGCCTCAAGCCCCTTCCTTTTCCTGCTCAGATGCTTAAGCTTGGTTGAGAAACACTAAAGGGTGGTATCATATGAACATAAGTTTCCCAGTAGTTTTGATACAGAGAACTACTCTAGTGAAAGATCTGCCATATGGCCACCCGTCCATCCAGAGTGTTTTGTTTGTGTATTTCTGCATGGCATAATGGGGTTGGACTGAATGGCCCTGGTGGTCTCTTCCAACTTTTCTGATTCTATGGTTTTATGTCAGATAACCAGATGGAAAAGAGGGTAGCTTTCCTGTACTTTTAATAGTTATGCAGAGGAGGCAATTCCATCTATATCCAAAGATGGAGGTGTTTGAAGGCCTCCTTATTTGGAGGCCTTCAAACAGAGGCTGGATGGCCATCTGTCAGGAGTGCTTTGAATGTGATTTTCCTGCTTCTTGGCAGAGGGTTGGACTGGATGGCCCACAAGTTCTCTTCCAACTCAATGAGTCTATGATTCTATGACATGTTATCTTCTATGCAACTATTAAGTGCCCAGAAACCCCACCCTATTTTCCATCTCGTCAGGTTTAACTGCTGCTCTTAACCCTATCCCACCCCAACAAGTTGTGGTTAATCTTAACTGTGTTATGAAAGAGGAAATCAAGGTCAAGCCCTGACTTCAGAAGCTGGCTTGTAAATTTAAGCTTTGGTTAATCAAAAACAGAGGAGAAAGCATCTTCGGATCAGTGAAAATGAGGAGGGAAAGGGAGTGCAGAAGTATGATGTTTTGTTACAGCTCATTCCCATGACAGTAAAATATGGTTGATGGCAAGGATGTGCAATTTGTCACTTGTACTTACTGGTTGAGGTTGGTGACACCCAACATCTAGAGAAAGAGTAGAAAATGGTGTAGAGATATGGGGCCAATTCTACCCTGATCTCTTTGTGGCATTAATCTCCCAGCCAGTGGTCCCAAAACTTTCATCCTCCAGTCATTTTGGACCTCAGTGCCCGGTAGCTTACCAGTAGCCCCAGCCAGTTTGGTCAACAGTCAGGAATTCTGAGAGGAGAAGTCTGAAGTACCTGGAAGATAAAAGTTTGGGGAACTTTTAGGATGTTTAGAGTCTAAATATTCCAAACAAAATCATATCCTGGCAAAAGGGGCAATGTTTTATTACTTCTGGCCACTGTTTTGATATTTCTAGAAAAAAGAGTTATGTGGAAGGCAAAAGTTCTAGAGAGGAGTTGTCGTTGGCATTGAATCTTGTTTCCATGGGGGCAAAATTGTCTAAAAATGACACTGATTTTTTTCAAAAATAATAATTCAGAAGGCTGTGCAGGACTGGGAGGAATGTGGGGATTTTGATGCCACAAAACTGGAGTCCAGAGATTGCAAATGGCCACATACTGCACTTTTCCTACTCCTGGCCTAGGGCCCTTCCACACAGCCATATAACCCAGAATATAAAGGCAGAAAATTCTACAATATCAGCTTTGAACTGTATTATCTGAGTCCACATTGCTATATATTCCAATTCAAAGCAGAAAATGTGGGATTTTATACAGCTGTGTGGAAGGGGGCCTAGACAGATAGATATTCTCTTTTTCTCTGACATCTGAAAACAGCCATTGTATCTGCAAAGTTACACTAAATGCAAGGTTTTTTAAAAGGAAGAGTTTAACAGATATGTCATGAAAATAGTATATGGGGTTTTTTTTAGAAGTCCTTTTGTAAAAAAATAAAAGGGGGGGGGGGAACTGCAAATATAGTGTTAGACCCATTGGAGCCCTAAATATAAGGATTAAATATAATTCAGTTTGAGCTTCGAAAGGAGGAGACAATTTATTGCTGCTCAGAGACAACCAGCCTCTGTATAAGTGTTGTTTGCTGGAACCCTGGGGGTGACCAGAGCAGTTGGCTCTGCTTTTTTTAAAAAAAGGATTCAGACCTGTGCCTAAGAAACACAATAAATTTTCGAGTCCTACCTTTGACCCCTCCCCAGAATGGGCAGAGATCTGCAGAATTTCTGGAGCCCTTTGAATTGGTTGCCCCTCATATAAACTGCTAATTAGCATCCAATTAAGCATCTGACCCCCACATTAAACTGGTCACTACTTGGGTGTCCTCAGCGGGACCATAAAACACGGCTGTTTCTTCAGCAAGCAAATCAATATTTATTACTGATCAGCCCGGCGTGTGCCCTGCAGAGCTTCACAAGGGGTCAGCATTGCAACAGCATAGCCTGGCCATTCATTAATGGCAGCAGGAAGAGACGTCGCCACGTCTGGTGAACTGGGGCACAAGAAGGCATGCTGAAGGGCCTTGTATCTCACCATTTAGAGAAAGTGACTTATTTAATCTACATATACACATGCTGAGGAATTTATCTTCCATCTATTGATCGATCGATTTGGCAATAAGTAGATATAAATTATTTTGCTGATATATATTAAAACGTTTGCTTTTGTTTTGTTTTGTTTTGCTATGGCATTGCCACAGGATTTGGGCTTAGAATGAGCCACACAGTCCAAACTAGCCTTTGTACAAATTGACAATAATTGAGTGCAGACTTTCCCACCACAATGTGCTTCAAATAAGTAGAACTACAACTCCCATAATTCTCAAAACCTCACAGCTCCACAGAGCTGAAAATTGACAATGCTTGGAGGTGATAGCCAGTTCCATCTTGGAACCTGGTGGCAACCACATTTAAATATAGAGACTCAAATATTTACATTGCAACCATGTACACATTTTCATGAAAGTAAGTACTGGTGAATGTAATGATGCTTGCACGTATATGTACTTATACTTAAATGTGTATTTTTATGCCTCTCATGGTATCAATTAATATAGTGTTTTATGCAATTTTAGATAGGAAGACACAGACTCCGTTTATGATGACATATCCACAAACATTCATATAATTGCTAAGTGGGCTCCATTAAAATGCATATGTAATTAAGTGTAAAAACAACATAGAACATTTAACAGATTTTAAAATAATGTTTTATAATAATAATAATAATAATAATAATAATAATAATAATTTTATTTCTTGCCTCTCCCTGTGGTTCGAGGCAGGTTACAACATTGCTAAAAATATGTAATCATCTAAAAATAATGCCCCAGCAACCAAACTAAAGCCAGAGCAGCTCATAGTTATTATTGGTGAAGGACAGAAATCTCACTGCTGGAGTTCTGTAGGCAAAATAAAACTGAGTGGCCAAGTTAAAATTATGCCAGAGTATTAGAGCCAAAATGGGAGATCTAGGAATGACCTCTTTTTATGTCAGAGAAAGAGAGCTCTGGTGATGTTACAAGGATGATGTTTCAAGCAGAAGTTCCTGGTGTGGCTATTAAGCATGATATGTTAAGCTTCAACTATAATGTCACAAAATGTGATGGTTAAATAAAAATGCTAATCTTCGGCTGGAAAATATGTACACATTAGGCCTGGGTAACAACGGAAAAATTTGTTTCTAAAATCGATTCGTTTTTTGGGGGTTTTTGCGTTTCGATATTTAAAAGAATTCCGAAATTTTTCTTTTAAAAAGTTCGATATTTACGAAATTTCGTAAATGTTAAAAAATTACGAAACATTAACGAAACAAATACGAAACAATAACGAATCGATTCGTTAATGGCGGACACGACCGCGCAATACGCTAAAAAACCTCCAAATGGGACAGGGGGAACTTCTGAAGCTTCCCTCTCCCTCTGTTGTTGACTGTTGGTGTGATATTATAATTTTTTTCACTAATTAAACAAAAAACAACTATAAAACTTGCCCCAGACATGCAGAAATAATAACGAAACGACCTCAAACCGATAACGAAACGAATACATAACGAATCCGAAGCATTTACGAAACGAATTTAAAAATTCGTTTCGTTTTTAAGTTGCTCCAGAATGGTTCGTTATCGCTTCGTTATAAAAAAAAATAACGAATTTTTAACGAATTACGAATTAACGAAACGAAACCGCCCAGCCCTAGTACACATGCTTTTAAATACTGTGCGTTTACCCCAAGATTCCTTCCCTTGGCCCCTACAGCTGGAAATGAAGGTGTAAGGGCAATTCCAGACATGGTTTAAACCTGTGCCGAAGCAGATTTAAATCCACCCCTCCCCAAAAAAACCCAGAGTTTCCCAATGGGGTATCCCCATGCCATCCCTGCAACTACTGGGATGTCATGGGGCCACCCCAACCCCCCTCCCAAAGCCCTTAAAAGAAAAAGTAACTTACCTGGCTGCAATTAAGGTACTCCTGAAGTCCTCCTGGTGCATAGAAATGATGCGCCAGAAGATTGGGGGGGGGGGGGGGAGGGGAAGTAGGCGGAAAACCACTCTTTGCCCCCCCCCCGCCTCCTGGCATGTCAGTTCTATGCACCAGGAGGACTCCAGGAGTACCTTAATGGTGGCCAGGTAAGTTATTTCTTCTTTTAATGGATTGTTTTGGAAAGTTTTGGGGGAGGGGGTGGATGCCCTCTCAGTTTACTGGGTTCATGGGCCCAAAGATCCAGGTCTTACCAGATATCTAATTAATTTGGGATAAAGCAGGGTTTACCAGCTTTGTCTGGAATTAATTTGACTTTATCGGAGACATTGTTAGGACACCTCTGGTAAAAACCTGACAGGTCCCACTTTTTGGGGCCTGTCTGGAAGGGTCCTAAGATCTAAGACTCAGGGTCAAGCCTTGAAATTTGGCAACCCTAATGGGAAATTCAGCCATTGCCATACAGATTTTGAGCATACCTTGTTTCTAGAAACACTGCCTGCCCAGTCATACAGGTATGAATATAAATGAATCATACTGAAGGGTTTTTTAAAACATTGAAAGCTCTGTTGAATGTTCTTTTATATTTTTACTACTTTTATATGTTTACAATTATGATTGTAAAATGATTTTGCACAGTTTTAAATTATGTGTTTTAACAGAATGTCTAATTTAATGTTGTAAAACTTTTTTCATAATCAGATATTTAGTTGTTTCTAGTTTTAATCTTACTCTAAGCCCATGTAGGTCCCATGGAGACATGAAGGACACAAACTAACAGTATGATTCTTCACCATTGGCAGGCCCGTTGCCAGGATTTCGTTTCGGGGGGGGGGGCTGTATTTTTTTCAGGGGGGTTTCGGGGGGGCTGAGTTTCGGGGGGGCTGAGTCTGAGTGAAAGAGGGTCTAGCCTAGCAAACCTTTTGTATCATTACCTCAATACCCCCATGCATATGGGATATATTGAGTATGGTGATCAGATCATGATATGAATAAACATAATAGTTTAAATAATGCACCAGTAAGGCCTTTTTGCGAACCACCATGAAAATTTCCTCAAGCCCCCCCCCCCCCACCCCGGCTACATGCCTGACCATTGGCAATACTGATTTGCAAACATAGCCAAAGCTCCAATAGTTTGGTGAGGGCTAAATAAATACCCTAAAAGTACCAGATCATGACTGATCTTGGAAACTAGAAGCAGACTTGGTTAGTACTCGGATAGGAGACCATCAGCGACTACCAGGTGCGTGTCGACTACCTTTCAGAGGAAAAAACTGGCAAAACTACCTCTGAGTATTCCTAGCCCAAGAAAATTCTACAAAATGCATGGGATTGGCACAAGTCAACAGGCGACTTGAAGGCAGATGGACACACACATCAACAGCTCTCTGCTGCTGCCCTCTAGTGATGGAATTATACATATTTTCTACTTTTCAGGGGGACATTCTTTTTTAAAATCATGGATGCTCAGCAGTTTTTATAACTAAAGGCTTTTAAGGGCTATGTAAGAGAAGGAAACTCACTTTTATCATATCACAGATATAATACATGTAAAACATCTTGAAGAAGTGCTAAAAAGTTTTATAAAGGCCTTCTATAAGTACTCCTCTATTCTACTTTGGTCAGACCTCACCTGGAATACTCTGTTCATTTCTGGACACCACAATTTAAGAGAGATTATGAAATAAATGATGGGAGTTTTACCTCAACACACCCATTAGAGAAGTCTTGCTTATTTAATTGTCTCAGCAAAAGTACATAAAATAAAATATTTTGATTCCATAAACACCAATACAGTTATAAAAAGTGTCCCAATACATTGGTCAGTCTGAAAGATATGAGTAGATTTGTCCACACAATCTCTCTATTTCTGCCTCTTTCTTTCATTTGTTTCTCATTGATGTCTAAATGCACAGATAGTTGTTTTCTAATACTAAGAGTAAATAAGGGTTAAAGCTTCTCTGAGTCATTGCTTTTTATCGCTGCCTTATGAATAATACCAGGACTCTTATAAAGGAGGGGGAAAGGGGCAAGAGGACAATCCTGTGTATGGAACACCAATGTGAGGATTGGGATGAACATGGCTTAGTTCTCTGCAGATAGAACCTAATCCTTTTTCATGGAGAAACAATTCCCACTGAGTTCGCTTCACTCACTCCTGAGTAGAAGCCTATTTATACATTATGTATTAATTGAGAAATAGTGTGATATCGTGGTTTGATCCTTAGACGATGGCTCTGGAGACCAGGATTCAAATCTCCATTCAGCCATGGAAACTGCTAGGTGAACTTGGACAAGTCACATTTTCGCATACGATAGCAAAGGCAAACCTCTGAACAAATCTTGCCTTTCATACATTCACCTTAGATTTATCAGAAACAACTTGAAGGCACAAAAACAAACACAGGGTGTCCCAAAATTTGCACACCTTTTAACAGTTAATAGTAACTATGTTAAGTAAATAATTTAACACCAGATTACACCAGTGGTGGCTGGAGGTTTCCATGTCAGTGGGATGGTGAATCCACTCCAGGTTTCATTAAAAGAGGTATCCAAGGCGCTGAACTTATTTTGCAGATAGAGTTCCAAAGCTTTGACAGATCCATTATGATCCTTAGTAAAACCTGGTGCAGATCCACTATCTTGTTTACATATCAGACTCCAGTCCTCACCAGAAGTGACCAAAAAACAACAAAAAAGAAATCATTAGGGTAATTCATGTATCTTTCTTCTTTCTAGTACCATGGTTCCCAAGAAGCATTCAAGAACTGGACAGATTTGCAAATCAGATTCTTAGTTATGGAGCAGAACTGGATGCTGACCACCCAGTAAGAAAAAGAAGTTTGATGTCTCTCTCAATCTCTTTGTGCAAATTCCGACGTGGTGAATGCAAGATGCACAACCTGACTGCATATAGCTGTTCCTGCCTTTGTATGCCCTAGAACAGGTTACTTGTTCTAGAGCAGTGGTTCCCAACCTTTGGTCCTCCAATTGTTTTGGATTTCAGCTCCTAGAAATCCAGCCAGCTGTTAGGAACTGTGGGAGCTCAAGTCAAAAACACCTGGAGGACTAAAGATTGGGAACCACTGTTCTAGAGCATGTTGTTGTTGTTCATTCGTTCAGTCGTCTCCGACTCTTCCTGACCTCATGGACCAGCCCACGCCAGAGCTCCCTGTCGGCCGTTACCACCCCCAGCTCCCTCAAGGTCAGTCCAGTCACTTCAAGGATGCCATCCATCCATCTTGCCCTTGGTCGGCCCCTCTTCCTTTTGCCTTCCACTTTCCCCAGCATAATTGTCTTCTCTAGGCTTTCCTGTCTCCTCATGATGTGGCCAAAGTACTTCAACTTTGTCTCTAGTTCTAGAGCATACAACTTGTCTCTAGTTCTAGAGCATACAATATAGTTATTTGTTCTAGATCACAATATAGAAAAGTATTCATGATTGCAATAAGCAATGACAACAAATCATCTTGTGAACACTGTTAACATTACTTTAAGAAGTAACTTTCCAGACTTCAGGGATATTTCATGCCATTCCATAACAGCCTACAACTATCAGCCAAGCTAATTTTTATATGAATGAATGTTTAATGAAACTCCAGTTAGAAATCTGTTTTTCCCCACTAACTTTTTCTTTCAAGTAGCAGTTGTAAAATATCTATCTGTAGTTGGTCTTGTAGAATAAGGAAATGTTTATTCTGTCATTTATCGCTGCGTCATTATCTTCTTTTTATTGTTATATTCGCATTTCTACATTTTATGTTAGCATTTCTATATTGTATTTTGGTTCTTTTTATTTGTGGTTCCATGTTTTCAGGTAGATTGTTAACCTTGCTGAACAGGATATAAATTGAAATAATAATCTTAAAAAAAATACCCAGCATCAGCATCATCCCCTAGCACTCATAGAAAAGGAAAGCACATTTTATTTTGATGTCAGGAGATGCAAAATTACTGCTATTGATTTAACCAAACCTGGGTACTTGAAAATAAATTACATGCCCTGCAGAAAAAGAGAAATAATAATTACTGCTATTACACTAATTGGTGCAGAGTGATTAGCCGTTCGCTAGCTCATGAGTTTCATCTAAAATGAGCGACATGTTCTGTACAATTATTTAGCACACAATATTTGGCAGAATAGTAGAAAAAAGCATGGGAAATGAAAAGACCCAATTGCTCTGAAAAACAGAGTGAATCAAAGAGCCCTCTCAATGCTTCTGTTAGGGATAAAATAATGCAAGCAATCCTTGAAAGCAAAACAAAAACCATCAACAAACTCAAACCAAATCTCAATGAACAGAAAGGAAATGCGTATTCTACATCCATCTGCTAGTATTAATCAGGCAACCGTTATTTTCCCCTGGTTTGTGGGGAGAGAGAATGCAAACACACATAGACTGAAATAACATTTAAGATGTAAAAAAACCCACCACGCTAACATATGGCAATTCTTGTTATCTGCAATACTGAAGACCTTTCATCAGCCAAAGAAGACTGATTTTGTGTTTATAACTGGACACTTGAAAACCTTCCTTACTTAATTAGGATTGAACACTAAATTGGTTTTATAACTGTACTATGTAAGAAAAAATAAATAAATAAAGCCAGCTTGAAATACTGTACTTGAGTTCTGAAGGGCTCACAAAACTATCGTTTTCATAATATTTCTGCAGGGATTCAAAGATCCTGTTTACCGGGCCAGAAGAAAGGAATTTGCAGATATAGCATACAACTACAGACAGTAAGTATGAATATGTGTGAAAATGTATCATAAAAAAAAGGACTTGGGTTCATGAAGATGAATCTGCTTATTCTAGCAGTAGTGTGGAAATTTATCTGGGAATTCAAGCAGTTTTAAAGATGTCACATGCCTCCATTTACTCAATGCTGTCAGCTGGTCATTGTCTCAGCCATACAGTAGTCTTTCCTTACACATATTATAAAATCTGATGATGGAAACAAGGGAAAGACCTGTTTCACATGAGATAGCTAATTCAGGCCAGGTGGAAATCAGCCATAGCAGAACACCTGATGAACCAACCTGGACACAGCATATTATTTGAGAACACAGAAATGCTGGACCACTTTAACAACTATCATGTCAGGCTACACAGAGAAGCCATTGAAATCCACAAGCATGTGGATAATTTTAACAGAAAAGGAGAAACCATGGAAATGAAAAAAATCTGGCTACTAGTATTAAAAAAACTCTAAAATATGGAAACAATCAGGGACAGCTAATCGCCTCTCAACAAAAGATTGCTCCAGGCACTGCCAGGCCATCAAATGCTAATCAAGGTGGTCAGTTGAAACATTCACACCTAGCTCCAGCAGACAAGAGTCCTTTGTCCCACCCTGGTCATTCCACAGATGTATAAACCCTTTTTCCTAGTTCCAACAGACCTCACTACCTCTGAGGATGCTTGCCATAGATGCAGGTGAAACGTCAGGAGAGAATGCCTCTAGACCATGGCCATATAGCCCAAAAAAACCTACAACAACTCCTTCTCTCAGCTGTTATGTGGATCAACTGTGGTAGGCTCCTAACTGTCTTGAATGAGGGCTGATATAAACATATCAGGACTGATAATAAATCATGATGAATGAGGACTGATATAAACCAATCATACTTCAGCATTCATTGTGGATTCATTTTGCTATTTTAATTGGAATATTTTGTAGATGTGTTGCTTCAACATTTACCAACCTGAGCCTTAACAGAGGAAGCAGTTTACAAAACAATATTACATTGTTAAACCAATGTATTATAGGGTTTGTAAAAGTATAGCCTTATTGAAATTGGTCCATAGAATAAGAAGGAAAAAAAATAAGAAAGTGTTCCATGACACCCCCCCCCCTTAAAAAAAACCCTTTGGCCATTCATCTTTATCTCCCTGTACCATTTGCATCTCTGATTTCCTGTCTCTCTCTTCTCACCTGCTACTCCAAGCAGAGGTCTATTGATCTCAGCTGCTTTCAAATTGGTCTCTGACGGTGTCTTAAGCCTCTGCTCTTTTCTCCAGGCCCACGAAGGTGGCCTAAGGATTAATTAGGAAAGGTCAATGCTATAGAAACCAAAGCGGACCCAGTTTCCCCTTCTCAATCATTCAAAATCACATTTAAAGCTCCAGAGATCAAGGAGGACTGGTGCAGAGACATAGAAAATTGTACACTTATTGGGGGGCTGTCTCTGGACTAGGCTAAAAATGGAGGTAAAGGGAATGGAGGGGGTATCACTTATATTTTGACAAAGATCCTGCCGCTCTGGAAATCCCTCACATTATCTCAGCAGTGCTATAGACCGTATTAAATTGCTGGAAAAGACCATTTGAATTTCAGGGAGAAGGGTGTTGAATAAGAAGAGAAACCGTAGTAGTGTTGCCTGTCCATTTAAAAAAAATGCATTTTTATGTAGACTTGAGCTCCCTCAGTTCTTATGTCAAGGCAACAAAAGGAAGCAGGTCAAAAGACTTTGACCAGACTGGCAGTGCTGTAACTGTATTTAGGTTAAGAGACAGATTTTGCCCCTCCTGCTGGGCAATTGCCTTAGCTGGTTCTTAGGAGCTAGAGGAGATCTAAAGAGTTATCTACTTTATGCTATGCCCCATTTTCTACAGCTCTTTCATACGTCTCAGATTTATGGTTTGCCAGAGTACCAAATCTGCAAAGCAAGACAAAGAAAAAAAATGAAACCAACTCACTAGATTGTTGTTGCCAGTACTAGGAAAAACAATGGTGTGTATCTTGTTGCAGCTTTCTGCATAGGGAAGGAGCTAGTTACAAGTAACTACTTAAATTTAATTAGACTTTCCCCCAACTACTCTACCCTACTTATACTATGTTTTGATGACTACCAAAGGACAGGTATCTTCACTTCTTTTGTTGTGTGACTGTTATGTCATAGTAGTATTATTTAAGGGGTGTTGTGTGGTTTCCAGGTGGTAAAAAAAGGTAAAGGTTGCCCCTGACATTAAGTCTAGTTGTGTCCAACTCTGGGGTTGGTGCTCGTCTCCATTTCTAAGCCAAAGAGGCGGCATTGTCTGCAGATGCCTCCAAAGTCATGTGGCTGGCATGACTGCATGGAGCACTGTTACCTTCCCGCTGGACCGGTACCTATTGATCTACTCATATTTTCATGTTTTTGAACTATGTTGGCAGAAGCTGGGGCTAACAGCGGGAGCTCATGCCACTCCTTGGATTCAAACTGCTGACCTTTTGGTCAGCAAGTGCAGCAGCTCTGCAGTTTAGCTCACTGTACCACCAAGGGGCAGTATGACTGTGTTTCAGCAGCATTTTCTCCTGATGTTTTTCATGCATCTGTGACTGGCATCTTCAGAGGATCATATTATTCAACTTTAACTTCTATGGTTCCATTCCATGGAATTCAGGGATTTGCAGTATCGGGAAAGGCTTTTAGAATTCTCAGCCCAAACTATAAGCCCTAGGATTCCATAGGATGAAACTATAGCAATTAAAATGAAATAATAGTGCTATAATTCTGTAGTGTGAGTGGGCAATGCTTGCTCATTCATAATCAGGTAATTCCAGAAGCTTTCATGACATTCACAAGAATAAATTGTTGCTGGGAATATTCAAAGTCACTAACTTCTGTAAAGCTTTCAAATGAACTTAGGGCCCTTCCACACAGCCCTCTATCCCAGAATATCAAAGCGGAAAATCCCACAATATCTGCTTTGAACTGGGTTATCTGAGTCCATGCTCAGATAATGTGGAATTTTCTGCCTTGACATTCTGGGATATAGGGCTGTGTGGAAGGGCTCCCAGAAAGTATTGGGAACCTGAAAGTGTGGGAGACCCAAAAGATGGTTGGCAGTGGACATTGCCTCAACTAATAAAAAAGCCCCTGGAATTCTGACCTTGCAAGCCCATGATCTACTACGCTACTCATTTTAAGTCATTTCTTTGTTTTAGTGGTCAGCCTATCCCCAGAGTGACTTACACGGAGGAAGAGAAAAGAACATGGGGAACAGTTTTCAGGGAGCTGAAGACACTGTATCCAACACATGCTTGCTATGAACACAATCATATCTTCCCGCTCCTGGAAAAATACTGTGGTTACCAAGAAGACAACATTCCACAGCTGGAGGATGTCTCCAACTTCTTGAAAAGTAGGTAGAAGTGCAAAGTTAGGTCCCAAATCTGACATCATTGACACATATTATCAATATAAATCCTGCTGCTTGACTTCTAAAAGCCTACATCAGGAGTGGGAATCATGCACTACAAAAGTTATCGAACTGAAACTCTCGGAGTTCCGCACCATTGACTGTGGTGACTGAGAGCCTTTCCACACAGCCATATAACCCAGAATATCAAGGCAGAAACCCCCATATTATCTGCTTTGAACTGGAATATATGGCAGTGTGGACTCAGACTTCCCAGTTCAAAGCATATATTGTAGGATTTTCTGCCCTGATATTCTGGGTTATATGGCTGTGTGGAAGGGCCCTGGGGCTGTTGACATTATCAGTCTAGCCAAATCCAGAAGACTGTATAACTCTCTCCTAAGTCCAATTCCTGGCCTCCCACTAAACTAGACCCCTTGAGTCTGAGCTGTTTATGAGTTACCACTCAATAACTCAGAGAATCAGCATGGTGTAGTGATTTGAGTATCACACTTAAGGCTCTGGAAACTAGGGTTTAACTCTCTACTTAGCCATGGAAGCCTATTGGGTTACCTTGGGCAAGACATACATTTTCAGCCCCAGAAACCCTTGTGGTACATTTACCTTAGGGTCTCCATAAGTTGGAAATGGCTTGAAGGCATACTATAGCAACAGCAGCCCAGTCATACAATTCAGTAGGTCTGCTATAGTTGGAACTAACAACTAGATTTAGATTTAGAAACCCAGTTGTATCCATATTTATCTGGAAATAAATCCTGTGGAACACAATAGGACTTTTGAGCACAATAAGACATCACATTTGTTATTGTACTATGTAATACATCGTAGAAATCTAAACCTGTCAGGATGTAATTTAAGCCAGGCTCTAATATGACCTTCTGTTTCTTTAAGGCTGTACTGGATTTCGCCTACGTCCAGTGGCTGGTCTTCTCTCCTCTCGGGATTTTTTGGGTGGCTTGGCTTTCAGAGTGTTTCATTCTACCCAGTACATTCGTCATTCATCAAAACCAATGTACACACCAGAACCGTAAGTATTTGGGCTCAGAGGTGTGGCAAATCTGAAATATTTTATATGGTCACAACAGAGAGAAGATATTTGGGCTGGGAATTGTCTGAGGCAAAATAAATGTGTACAACACAAAGAATGTTTTGGGTACTACAATTTTATTTATATATTTACTTTCCTTTGAGATGTAGGCTTACAACAAATTGAAACAGCTAAAATCTTATTATACATCTAACAATTAAACGAAAAATTGTTAATAGTACAAAGTTAAAAGGGTTTAAAACATTTTTAAAACATCAAAAAGAAATTAAAGCAACTTCTACCACACAAAATAACTTTTTCCCCATATGAGGTAAGAGCAAAAATCCTGTCTAAATAAAATGACCCTTTTCAGCTGCTGGAAAGAAAGCAAAAGACAAACCTGCTATAAGAAAGGATTCTACAGTATGGAGAGAGGTACTGATAAGACTGTCCTCACCAAATGTGATGATCTTGGAAATACAGGAAAGCCTCTCCCCACAAGGATCTTTTAAAAAAATCCATCTCCACAATCTTCCAGAGATGCCTCTAAATGCCAAAACTGGTTCCAAAACCACACTTGTACCCTGCCCTTCTCACCCCGAAGGGGACTCAGGGTAGCTTTGGATTGCTTTGGATTGGTTCAAATTGGTTTGATTCGTTGTATGATTCAGAACAGTCAGTTGCATGACTCTAGTTCAGATCTCAGTTTTTAAAACTTTTTGATACAACTTCTTTAATTTTTGTTTTTAAGTATACAAATGGTTGTGGGTTTTAAGAAAAACCTGGTACAATTCATGCATTTTTGTTTTTCTTTTAGTGATGTTTGCCATGAACTTCTAGGTCATGTTCCTTTGTTTGCTGATCCCAGTTTTGCTCAGTTTTCCCAAGTAAGTAAAGCCTTTATTTTATTGATGGCACCTAACAGGAAAGATCATTCAACCACACATGAAACTGTCTAATTCTGTGATTCTTACAGTCAAACAACAATAAAAACCCCATCCTTCAACATACGGTTACTGAGACTTAATACTGCAATCTTAGGAATTTTTGAAGGTGTGCTATTTATATGCCCACTTAGATGAGTGTGAGTCCCGTTGAACTCATATATGCACACACTGTTAGTTTTTTTAACTAAATTACAAAATCTTTACTATGAGCTCTTGCAAATTAACTCTGTTTCAAAATGTATTATCACACTGAAGTCATAGTGTTCATTGATATAGCAGGATTTGAACCTGCTGATTGCTAATTACAATGCATTATTTGAAAGAGTCTTAATATTGGGCAGGCAAATTCAGTTTTTAGATAGCTTATGCAAGGGAAGGAGCAATGAATCAACCTGTTTTTGGTTGATGACGGTTCATTTGTTAATTCATTCCACTGGTTTCTACATGATTGTGTGTTTTAGCCACATAAAAATTAATATATAAATGTGATGGTGAATGTGTTCTATTTTTATTGAGATCTTTCCAAACATCTGTTGGCAACGTATTTTCAGCACCATGAATAAGTTCCTTAAAGTCTGGACCAAGGACTGGAGCAGATTCACCACCTCACTTATGCAGAAGCTACTCAACTGTCACTATATACAAATATGCACGTATCTTTAAAAAAAACAGAGAGTAATATATTTTCATTTCTACAGGAAATTGGGTTGGCTTCCCTGGGAGCTCCAGATGAATACATTGAGAAACTTGCTACGGTAATTGTTTGAAGAAAGGGGTATTTCTAGAATGGCTCTATCCAAAATTGAGAATAAACTTTGTATAAATACTGAATGTTGAAGATGGAATGCTCTTGAAATCTTACTAGATAACCTGGGAAATAACTCCAGAACCCATATCCACAGTTTTGTTTACCTACACCTAGGGAAGAAATGGCCTTCCTACCCATTTTCCAGGTCCTCCAGGTGATTTGATTGTATCCTTCCCCAGGAGTTACCTCCAAGTTGTATTAGAGGACCTAGCAAATTTCTGGAGGGGTGACTTTGCTAAAAAATCTCTAGGTCCTCTAACACAACTCTATGGCATGGTGGGGCAGAAAGTCAGGTAATATAATGGTGCTTGGTCATATACACATTTTCATGCAACTGACTATTATGTGATGAAATATAGTGTTTTATGTTCATAGACATGTATGAACAATGTATGGTTACATTATATCACTAAATCAATTAACAGATTTAGTCTTATTAATGTTTATGGTATTAAGATATCAAAACCACGAGGTCATAATAATTTATAATAATAACTGTGCAATTGCCTACAGTTAATGGTTACACATTGGCCATGTGCAAAAGGTAGCCATTTACTATCTGTGTAGAAGAGAGCATTTTTAGAGGTGCAGCTTTTTTGCATGGATTCATTTGATGGCACAGGCAGTCCCCAAATTACAAACATCCAACTTACAAATGACTCATAGTTAAGAATGGGGGTGAGACAACAGGAAGTGAGAGAAATCTACCCTTAAGAAGGGAAATCAACTCCTGAAAGAGTTATAATGGGAAAAAGATGGCTCCACTCAAGCCTTGTCACCAATCTTTGTTTCCACAACAAGCCAAAATTTTCAAAATCCAATTCTCACAGGGACGGAAAGTAAGGTGAAAGCTTCTGAACAGGGACACAGACAGCAAAACAAACACCACAGGGGGGTCAACCCTTCCCTATGCTATCCAAAGCTGAAGTTATGCTTAAAAATGTACTTGTTTGGAAATACAAATCCAACTTAAGACCAAACCTACAGAACCTTTCTTGTTTGTAATTTGGAAACTGCCTGTATAAGAAAATACCTCCTTCTTTGTGAACAGGAATTCCCTGTAGGTAGGCAAGATGCCTGGGAGTGAATGAAGGGACTTCCCCACAGCCAGCATGGAAATGCAGAGGACTGATCCCAAAAAAAGGACCAAACAAACTTTTCAAGTATCCTCAGTTTAATGCTATGACTAACTTTATTTGCTACATAAATATCATATCTGGCTGAGGTTTGTCATTGTGTTGCGAAGATTTACAACCATTTTCCTTTAATTTCCTGGGTATAAAAAGAGTAAAAATGTTATCTGCATTTCATATTTATTGAAATGACAATTCATTATTCATATACAATTGGAGTAGTCAATCCACTACAGATTTTGGTTAGACAGCAAAGGAGTGGTCCAGAGTTCTACCTCCAAACGATGATTATCACCTTGAAGGCCTCCTTGACAGATTAGGCTAAAATCTGGAGTGAATGTATTGTCCTGAAGACACAAAAGCCACCAATTGCTGCTTGTTTCTTGGAAAGTGATGGTGTGAGAGGTGGCATATACAAAATAAAATAGCATTCTTATATTTCAATTGTTAAATCCACCAGAAGCCCAACGCTGAGAGATTGGACATTCCTGTAGTGCCCCAACATAAAACTCTTCCGTTTAGCTTAATCTGGAACTTTGTACATAACCAGCCAAAATAATTGATTCCCTTACTTTATACTAGGTTTACTGGTTTACAGTTGAATTTGGGCTGTGCAAAGAAGGCAATGGCATTAAGGCCTATGGAGCTGGATTGCTGTCATCATATGGTGAATTACAGGTATGAGTTTGTGAATGTTGTTGTTTTTTTCAGATCAAGCATACTTCCTCCACACTTTCTCCAGCCTCTCTCCCTTCAAAGGATTCAAATGAAATTTAGCACTTTAGACACCTCCTTTAAAGCCAGGGCTCAACCCTTGTGGAGCTTCACCATCTTCTACTATAGTAGAAATGTAGCTGTCTTATCTTCTTTTGAACTCATCCACATTGAAGAACACAGCAAGTTATTTGACAGACACAAATAACTACTGTTTGGAATGAATTACTTCTAAATTCTAATCCCAGGTTAAGAGACAGCTGGAATAATTTATAGTGATCCAAACCTGCTCCCAACAGAAGGTTTTTGTTTTTTGTTTGTTTGTTTTTGTCATGTCAGGAGCGACTTGAGAAACTGCAACAGAAGGTGACATCAATAGGTATATCCCCTGTTAAGAACAAGCCATCTTTAGTCTCCAATAAGAGCTGCAGGATTTCTGCTTTTCATGAAGCTAACGTTAAGTGTTCCAGACATCCATTTCCTACAACCAGGGCATTATTATCACCATCTGATGTTTTTCTCCTAGTCATGTCTTCACATTCTGAGGATTTTAAGCACACTCAGATCTCATTTAGCTTTTGGGATCTGGTTGACATTGTTCAGCTGTGCTTTTAATTTTAATTTTTTGTTATATTGATTTGTTTTTAGTTTTTCATCTGTTTGTTGTTGTTATTTAATAGGAGGTGACTATGTTCACTATTTCTCTCTTAAATGTGTAATGTGAAAATATCTCATTGCACACAGGAAATAGAGAATTGAGAGCCAGAATGGTATCCTAGTTTGTGTGCTGGTGTGTGTTTGTGTGTCAGAGACCAGAGGTTGAAACTGCTCAGCCATGGAAACCCCCTGGGTGACCTTGGACAAGTCACACTCTTTCAGCCTCAGAGGAAGGATATGGCAACCCTGCCGTGAATAAATATTGCCAAGAAATGTTTCAACAAGCAATTGAGAATGTCTAGTCCCTACTTATAAATGCTCAGTCTCATTGCTCACCAGATAGTACTCTGTTCTCTGCACTTCTTCCAATCCCCTGGTCCTATACTACGCTGTTTTGCAATATCCCAGGCCCAGCCTTCTTATACCCTGATCAAGCCCATCTTAGTACTCTGGTTATCGGTTTTTGTTGTGTATTTTTAGTGAGTTTTAATGCTGCTGTTTTATACCTTTATGCTTCATTTAATTGGGTTTTATTTGATTGTTATATTTTGCTATGTTTTATTTTAATTGTGTTTTTTTAAATTGATAATTTTGTTTTGATGTTCTGTGGACATTTTGTCCCATGAGTAAACTGCCCTGCATCCCTTCAGGGAGATGGAGGTGGGGTATTAAAAAGTTGTTGTTATTGTTGTTGTTATTATTATTATTATTATTATTATTATTATTATTATTATTATTATTAAGGAATCCTAATTATAATGTCACCATCAGGCAGATTCAGCTTGAAGATACATGACAATTACAACACAAAGGAGAAAGAACTTTTGAGTGATAATTATCACTCAAAGGACTTTTGAGTGATAATTTAAACTTCTTCTACCTGTACATAACAGGCCTGATCAAGATTGCTTCAGTGTTTTCTTTGGCCAAGTGAAGAATAAAATCTCAGGTGCACATTTGACATAGGTCTGAAGCCCAGTTTTTGATATAGCAAGCCCATTAACCTATACAATTCATTGCTGAATGGCAAGCCACCTTGTCGGTAAATCCCATTGATTCAATGGGTCTACTCTTGTTGAGACTAGCAATAGGAAACAGACCATAGTGTGGAATTTAACCCTTGGTGGTCTTGGCTTAGCTAGCTGCTATCCTGATGGCCCTCACTATTTGACCTTCCTATCAGAATTAGGTATTAACTTATGCTATAGAAGAAATAATCCTGATGTTTTACTAATGTTCAAAATTCTCTGCCTTTTTCATTTAGCATTGCTTGTCAAATAAACCAGTGATTGAACCTCTCAACCTAGAAAGGACATCCATTCAGAAATATCCAGTCACTGAATTCCAGCCTATTTACTATGTTGCTGAAAGTTTTAAAGATGCAAAGCAAAAGTTAAGGTAATTATTTAATTTCCATGAAGATTTATATCCCTTGGTAGGGATGGCCCTGAGTGGGGATATATGCACTACTTAAAGGACTAAATGGAAAATGCCACCAGAGGGTGCCAGAGGGGCGAGAGAAGCCTAAGAGCATGATGCACCAAATCAAGCAGGGGATGTGGATGCAAGTATGTCACCAGCCACAATTGCATTCAGTGCAATTGCACACATTTTCTGCTCCATCTTACATCCTTCCATTTCATACCAGGCCTAAAAACTACTATTTGTATCATTTAAGGATGTTATCCAGCAAAAAAAATCCATCTGGATGCATTAAAGTTTCTGTTTTTTTCCTTCAGGAAATATGCCTCCATCATTCCCCGTCCATTCTCAGTCCGATACAACCCATATACTCAAAGGATTGAGGTTCTGGATAACACCAAACAGCTGAAGAATTTAGCAGATGCTATCAACAGTAAGAACCTGCACTAGTTTATACATTGTTTTTCCCTTCAGGTACCCAAATCCAGAGCTCTTCATTGGCTTGCTTTGATGTCCAAAAAGAACTCTTGATGCTCCAGTCTCTCACTCTCTGCACACTAGAGCTACAACCATGAGATGAAATTGTTGAAACAGAGAATTATTTTGATGTTCAAAACAAAAAAAGCATTCAGCATGTCAGTAACAGTAACAATCTTATTTACTGTCTACCAGTGGCATCAATAGAGAGCTACAGGCCATACCAAGAGGCATAAAATGGCCTGCTTATAGAAATTTTGTGGCGTGCATCAGCAGAAAATTATGATTATTAGATATTACCACATAATGGGTCTACTCTATTATAACCACAAAGACATTTTCCAGCACTGTGTCTATATATCTACAAGGCTAAAACACTGTGCTAATTAACTCTCTGAACTTTCTAACAACATACATATGCTCCAGTCAGATATATCATTACCCAAGTTCTATGATACTTCCATCACATGATTTCATGAACACACACTACAACTCCACATCATTTTTTTGATTGCTGCTGGGTTCTTTTACAGTTACTGATTTTGTCAAATTTTCTTGCGTTTTTGCTACAAAATTCTGACATGGTTTGGAATGGGAAGAGGTCCATGGAAGTGGTTTTTCATGTCAGGAGTGACTTGAGAAATTGCAAGTCACTTCTGGTGTGAGAGAATTGGCCATCTGCAAGGACATTGCCCAGGGGACACCCGGATATTTTACCATCCTGTGAGAGGCTTCTCTCATGACCCCACATGAAAAGCTGGAACTGACAGATGGGAGCTCACCCTACTACTTGGATTCGAACAGCCAACCTTTTAGCCAGCAGTCCTGCCAGCACAAGGATTTAACCCATTGCACCACTGGAGGTTCTGTCCATGGAGGTGATAATGAGTTACTACACTTGGTGGACACCAGCTCTATTGATGCCATTGAGTTTTTGGTAATCTATACGACAGGACAATGTCTTTGGTCTTCCATATGTTCTAAGTCCCATAATTTCTCACCATTACTCATGTTGGTTGAGACTAATGGGACTCAGAATCCAACTGCTATTTGAAGACCACCACAATTACTACAGAAAATACATAAATTTGGTTTGATCTCACATTAAATGTGCCTGTTAGGGGAATTGCATTTGTCCTACACACAGAAACACAAAATTTCAGGGTAAAAAGGCCAGGCTAATGCTGGGGCACTATCCCACAGCAAACAGCAGATGAAGGAGGAAAACATGTTGGCTCTTGCAGTCATTAAGGTGAAACAGGCTGCTCAGAATGCCTCACAAAATTACAAATCCCAAGATTTTAATGTGAATTCACAGTGCTGGACTTGTGTAGTGTGGGAAGGCCCAGAGTTCTGCAACCTGATTTTAAATGGGAAATTTTCAGTGGTGCAGCCATACAGTGTTTCTTAACTAATTTGAATAATCTAATCCAAGACTTTGTGACTGTTATGTATTCTAGTCCATGTCAATATAACTCTGCCATATTTGTTGTTAGAGGTTAGGCTTAAACTGAACACATAATTTGTATTGGGCAGAATGAAGCGGAAATCCATGTGCTGCCCTTTAGAATAATGAAATCTACTTGCTAGTGCTGTTATGAAGATACAGTTTGAATGACTCTATAAACCTTGCTTCATGTTTGTTCATGGAGCATAAATGTAAAGAACAAAGCAAAACATAGAATTTCCTTTTTTCTCTCTTTGTAGATGAAATGGGACTTCTTTGCAATGCTCTCCAGAAGATCAAATGAAGAAAATGATCTCAAAGCCAAAAGGCCAACACTGAAACAAACACTAAACTTTTAAACAATCATCATGCCAATACTTAACACAATGTAGAAATGTATCGGATATATCATTTGTTTACTGTATGTATAATCTTACAATATTTGCCAATGCAGGAAAAGTTTAGCAAACTCTTCCATTATTATCTGTAACAAAAATGCCAGGTTTAGTTGCTAGACATTCGCACTCTGACAATGCCCTAATATACATGCCTACTTAGAAGTATATTCCATTTGGACCAGTGGGATTGCAGACTTGTAAACTATCATGTGTAAATAACTGTGACCCTCCAGTTGTTCTTCAGCTGCAACTCCCATAAGTTCTTGTTACTATAGCCAATGACAAGGGATGACAGGAATTGCAGTCAAACAATATTAAAGTGCAATATCCCCAACAACTGCAGAATGGCTGTTCAAAGAGACTATTGGAGAAAAACTATGGGGCAGAGGAGGAGAAGCATTGATCCTTGCATATGGTAGAATAGAATGCCACTCTTTGTTGCACTCTAGACCAGGAAAGCCCTCTGACTTTAAACACCACACAGCTGAGTAGAAATGCAATCCATTTATTGAATATAGTTAAAAAGCAGTAGTAGTAAAAAACACTTTAAGAGAATAGGTAAATCCAATTAGGTAGGAAGATAAGCTGGAACAAATAGTTCAGGAAATTAGTCCATCAAAGTCCATGAAAACAAAGGCAGAAACTTCTATAGTAAAATCCAAAAAGTAGAAACATGAATCCAAGGCACTTAACACATGAATCTAAAATCTAAGAACTGTAAACATGAATCAAAGGCACTTAACACAGGAATGTTTCCAAAGCAAGGCTTCCATGAAACAGAAACGAGGTCTTGACTTGATTCCAAATGATGCTTCATCTGACTACAGATCCTGTACTTGGGTCTTTTATTTCCTCATTACGCTATGTCCCAAGCAGCCAGAAATAGGTTTTGTTTTAGTCTTGAATCCCTTATCATTCTTTCTTTGAGCCTGGCAGAATGTCTAAGAGACTGGTCTGCTTTCCTATTCTGACTAATAACATCCTGTCTATCTATTTGCTCATTAATTTCTGCAGCTGGCCCAATTGTTGAGTTATTTTCAGGCTCTAAGCCATGGGAATTCTCTGGTAGCAATTCAGGGAGCACACCACCATCCCCACACCCTTCAGGAACATTCTCATAAGAAAATACACTTTGAACTGGGATCTCCTGGTCATTCTCTGCATCAATCTCACTGGAAACACCATTACCTTCATGAACCTCATTTTCATCATTCCCCATATCCAAAGTACCCTGATCCTTAAACACAATCACAGGCTGAATTCCAACACCCTCTACAACAGGCATGGGCAAACTTTGGACCTCCAGGTTTTGGACTTCAACTCCCACAATTCCTAACAACCTACTGTTGAAGTCAAAAACACCTGGAGTTTGCCCATGCTTGCTCTACAGTGACAAAAACAAGGCATAGGATACTGGTCAATGTCACCTTCAGTGTTTCACTTCTGTGTTTTGCCACTAGTTTTCTCTAAGAAATTCATGTCATTCTCACAAGCGGACATTTGTCACATATGCGGGAGATTTGAAAGCATGTAAGACTTGGGGAGACATTTTAACCTTTTAGAAAATGCAAAAAAAAAAAAAATCCCCACCTGTACAAATGATAGGATATGGTGTGACTATCTGTGAAAGCCCAAAGGGCACATCCACAACTGGAGGAAGACTATACTCAATTTTAGGGCCTGAGGTTCCTTACCTCTGATTTAGAGAATAAGATAGCAGATCCGTAAGAATAAACCAGTCTTGATACTTTTCCTCTCCATCAGATTTTGTAAAGTTAGTGGGTCACACAGTACATAAAAAAATATTCACAAATATATCATAGTGCTCAGAAAATCCAACCCTCCTGTACACTTACTTCATATGCTGCAGGAAGGCTCAGAGGGAACAATGGAGTTAGAAGGGAATGGGGAATAATATTTTGTGTATGTAGGTATATACTTCAAGCCAACTGTTGAATTATAGTAATCCAGTGGATTTCAAAGGCAAGGAATACTCCGGTGGGTTTTGCCAGTTCCTTCCTCTGAAATACAGTTTCTAGAACCTGGTATTCATGATTTCCTTTCCAGATACTAACTGGGCCTGACTCCGCTTAGCTTCCAAGACCAGACAGGATCTGGTGCTTTTAGGGTATTTATTAGGCTAATTGAAAGGATGTCCTAATTTAATATTAATTGCTCCAATCAATTTTATCATCTTACTTGCTCTATACAGCCTGGATCTAAAGAAATGCATGTATTTCTATATGTAAAAGAAAACTCTTAAACATGTATCTTAAAATACAATATCAGAAAACTACAAATCACTTTTGATATATAAGGTAACTAGGAACTATCATTTCTGTTTATGCACAATCCAAGCACTTATGGTAATTTATATGAAGTGGTGTTTCTTCAAGATGTGATAGGATTTGACAAAAATCCTACCATGATACCAAAATTTGAGATGCACTGGTGACATTAAAAAGTCACCATAAAACCGTCTAGATATGTCAAAGAAATCACTCTCAATGGAAATATTTCACCAGAGAAATATATGTCAGTATAACTGGCAAAACAGGAAGAGAATCAGTGTGAGGTGGTGAAGAGTATAAAAGGAAGCAAAGCTAAATATTCTGAAAAAATGTAGCTTCATTTATATTTTTCATAAAAACCAGGATAATCAATCCCTGTATTTTCTTTAAAGCAAAATGAAAAATATGTAATTATTCCATGTAAATAAAATTCATTTATTGTCCCAATCATTGGCATTTGCATTTTTTCAAGCTAAGCTTTGATGCCAGTACATACAAACACACACATAGACTTGACAGATTTGAGATTCATTTGAACAGAAATACTGATGACTAATTTTATAATTCCCCATTGCCATTTCAAAAGGACGGAGATGGGAGAGCCCTTTGTGGTTGAGCTTCTTCGTTGTGTATAGCTGGAGGTTGCTTTAAATGGTAGATGGAGAGTTAATACAAAAGATGGAGTGCCATATTCCAACTCAGCAACAGAGGAGGAGGCAAGGCTTTGAAGTGCAAGCCCTGTTTTTGTTGTTGCTAAACATTTGCTTTTCCATTTGTATTAATACACTTCAAATGAATCATCTTAATTATAGGGATTGGTTGAACAAAGCCTTTGAGAGATAGCACAGAAAAAGATGATCCAAGCAAAGCCTTTAGACCAGTGGTTCTCAACCTGTGGGTCCTCAGATGTTTTGACCTTCAATCCCCAGAAATCCTAACAGCTGGTAAACTGGCTGGGATTTCTGGGAGTTGTAGGCCAAAACACCTGAGAACCCACAAGTTGAGAACTATTGCTTTAAACAGATTTCCCAGGAGTAAGTCCTACTGAATTTAGGGTGTATCTCCACTGTGGAATTAATGCAGTTTAACACCACTCTGATGACCTTTGGCTCAGTGTTATGGAATCATGGGAGTCGTAGTTTGATGAGGCACCAGCAGACTTTGACCCAGAAGGCTACAGACCTTGTGAAACTATAACTCCCATAATTTCAAAACATTTAGCAAATGGCAGTTAAGGTGATGGCATTAAATCTACAGTATGTGTATGTATCCTTAGTGGGTTATATTTCTAAAATAAGGTATTTAAAATTATGCCGGACTCAATATACTAATCTGAAAAGAGCGGTGTTTTTAAACAGTGGCTAGAATCCTATATGGTTCAGTATGGTATAGTACAGTATGACTCCCGTATTTTCTAGGAATGTGTTCCAAGACCCCCAATGGGATACCTGAAACATAAATAATAATGCATCCTGTGTTTCGACTAGGACTGGAAGCATACTATAGAATAGCATTGGAGGACTTAGAGAGGCCAATAAACATGTCCAGGAATGTGGATATATGAAACCATGGATATCAAGTCCATGTACTTTCACATAGAGAACTTTATCACAGTTAGCCATTCATACCCTAGATCAGAGGTTTTCAACCTGCGAGCCCTCAGGTGTTTTGGCCTACAACTCACAGAAATCCTAACCAGTTTACCAACTGTTAGAATTTCTGGGAGTTGAAGACCAAAACATCTAGGGACCCACAGGTTGGGAAGCACTGCCCTAGACTTAATTCTCCACCCCCACACACATGTATTCAATCATTCCTCCTAGTGAAGAAAAGTCTGTCTATTTAATGTTGTTGTTTTTTTTAAAAAAAGAAGAAATGCTTAAAAAAATATTATTAACCCATAGCTTAACTTGTTTTATATTTTAGTCCCAAAGAATTCACGAGAAGCTGCTCACTAATTCCTATGTATGTTACTTAGCTTGAACTCCAACATGTGGCATTATTTTTATTTATTTATTTATTGTTTGTTTAAACATGGAAAAGAAACAAGATAATTCTATGGACTGAACTAGATTACCATAAAATATTTGCCGATTCTTAGGGCCAGCAATGGGAAGAACACAATGCCATGCTATCTTTCTGGATCCAATTACATTCTCTCCCACTCCCACAACTGCAAAATTATCATTTACATTTCAGGCCTCAATATCACTTGGTACTACATCCAAATAGGTGAGTTTATACCAGGCATAAACAAACTTGGGTCCTCCTTAAGTGGCTGGGAGGAAAAGGAAAGGAACCAAGGCTGTTAGGAATGGTGGGAGTTGAAGTCCAAAACACCTGGAGGGCCCAAGTTGGTCCATGCCTGGTTTATAGCCATTCAAGCTCATGCAAAAAATAAAAATCAGTCTTAAGGGAGCTGCCACATTCCATTTTTCTCTTCTTCCTCCCCTGATCATGTTCAGGATTATAAAAATGTTTTCAGTTTACTCAATCCCAAATGGCAAGCAAGCAAAGGTGAAAGCCTAGCAACTATTTTAGAACATATTGAAAATTGGAGAAGCAAAGAATGAACAACTTTGTGGGTTTCAGCCACTGAATTTGAATTAGGAGTCTGTGTTTCAGTACCTCGGACAGCAACTTCAAGGTGTGAATGAAGATCACCTTGAGTAAATAAATATTGAATCTTCCATAATGGAGTCTGGAGCCCCTGGTGGCACAGTGGATTAAACTTCTGAGCTGCTGAACTTGCTGCCCGAAAGGTCACCGGTTCGAGTCCAGGGTGAGCGCCTGCTGTTAGCTCCAGCTTCTGCCAACCTAGCAGTTCGAAAACATGTGAGGTCAATAGGTACTGCTCCGGCAGGAAATTAACAGTGCTCCATGCAATCATGCCGGCCACATGACCTCGGAGGTGTCTACGAACAATGCCGGCTCTTCGACTTACAAAGCACCCCGAAGTGCAGCACATAAAATAAATAATACATAGAACTAAAAACAATAAAAAACATGAAATTACAATCGCCTACACATAGAAAAAAGAAGAGGGGCCGACCAAGGGCAAGATGGATGGATGGTATCCTTGAAGGAGCTGGGGGTGGTGACGGCCGACAGGGAGCTCTGGCGTGGGCTGGTCCATGAAGTCACGAAGAGTCGGAAACTACCGAACGAATGAACAACAACACACATAGAATTTTCCACGCAATAACTTACTATGTACGTCTCTCCATAGTGACTGACTAATTTATTTAATGTATTTATTTACTATATTTATATACTGCCCCTCTCAGCCCGTAGGCGACTCAGGGCGGTTAACAGCATAAAACATTTAAAAACATTAACATATAATATAATACCTTAACAAGATCAGTTAAAAACATAAATCATAAATTGTCGAAGGCTTTCATGGCCGGAATCACTGGGTTGATGTAGGTTTTTTCGGGCTATATGGCCATGGTCTAGAGGCATTCTCTCCTGACGTTTCGCCTGCATCTATGGCAAGCGTCCTCAGGAGAGAATGCCTCTAGACCATGGCCATATAGCCCGAAAAAACCTACATCAACCCATGAATCATAAATATCTCTTAATGTATGTATGCTATTTCGTTGAGTAACAATATAGAAGCAAAGCAGGAAAACAAACACAAACCAATTAATTGAAGAGCAAACCTTGAGATGACATTATGTTTTGCGGGGTGAGGTAGTTTGGGGGCGAGCGCTTGTTGACGCGAAACCCAATGGGAAAACCCTTCCTTATGAGGAGGAAACACCATGAGAACCCAATCGGGAGTGAGGCAAGAGCGAAGCTTTGCAAAAGATTTCGTTTCTCTTTCTCTTGCTTTTAAAGGGGAATGGTCTTTAAGAACAAGAGATAGGTGGAGGGGAGAACGAAGATAGTAGAGATATGACAGGTAGACAAACATCTAGTTAGATAGATAATATATTTTGCATGAGGAGCTTCCCGTCTTCTGGTAAATAACAATCCGCGAGGTTTCATAATCTCTAGATAGATAGATAGATAGATAGATAGATAGATAGATAGATAGATAGATAGATAGATAGATAGATAGCTAGATAGCTAGATAGCTAGATAGCTAGCTAGCTAGCTAGCTCAGGCCTGGGCCAACCTGGGCCTTCCCTTCAGGTGTTTTGGACTTCAACTCCCACCATTCCTAAGAGCCCCAGAAAAAGGAAGCCTAAGATCCTTCCTTTTCCCCCTCACCCGCTATCTGAACTGGGATATATGGCAGTGTGGACTCAGATAACCCAGTTCAAAGCAGATATTGTGGGTTATTCTGCCTTGATAGTCTGGGTTATATGGCTATTTGGAAGGACCCTAAGAAACAGCTTTACAAACTAAAGAATAAATAAAAATCCCAGGATTCTATAAAAAGCACAGTGAAGGATCGAAGTGGGATCAAACTGCTATAATTGTGCAGTGCAGATGACTCCCCCCTCCCTCGAATCTTCTGAGTCTCTTGGTTGCAACGCTCCAACCAATGCAATTAAGGCTGTAAAAGTATTTCACAAATCGAAAGAAATCCTATATTTTCAGGATATATTTTCGTACAGGAAAAAAACAACAATGGGCTTTTGCTGTCTGAAATCATGCCTGTGATTCCAGTTAAAGGGTAAGATTTGATTGATTGCCTGATTGGTATGTAAATAAATAAATGTGTAAGTACATCAGTATGTATGAAGCACACGACCATAAACAAGTTGTTCAGGGAAAGATGGAAGGGAAAATTTTAAGAAATCAATCTGAAAATCAAGGAGGAAAAAAATGCGACCAAGCTGTGCATTCTAAGGCCCTTTCTACACTACCATATAATCCAGATCATCAAATCGGATAATCCACATTATCTGCTTTGAAGGGGATTCGTCTACACTGCCGGTTCAAATCAAATATATTCAATACAACAAAATATTCCAAGAAGAGAATGCCAGAAAAAAAGCATTGTGAACGATCACTTAATCATTTCAAAACATCCTTTCTCTTGAATGACCTCATTTTTTTTTTAAAAAAGGAAATTCTGAAGGAATATTTGCTGGTGCATTTGTCCCCTTAGAAACGGGATTATCTGAGTCTACACTGCCATGTAATCCGGTTCAAATCAAATAATCTGGATTTTATATGGCAGTGCAGAAGGGGCCTTGGATTGATCGAATTTAATATTGCGCGTTTGATATCATAGTTTCAACAAGATTGATGGGATTGTGGTTATTTAATCATGACGAAGAATTCCAAGGAAATGAGTTGCCCTTACAATGAATCTTTGATTTTTCACGGACCGCTAGCGTCGTTTTTCTTCTCCTGGATCATTTCCCTCCCTCTTCGCGAGAGGAGCGTTTCCTTCTGCTGGCGCCACCCAGAAGCGTGTGGCGGCTATTTCCACCCTCCCCAGATGGCGGTGGGGACTGGGGAGAATGGGAGTTGTAGTCCAACCCCTCTGACGCACCGTGCAGCCCTCCACCTCCGCGCCTTGCCTCTTCAAAGGAGAGCTTGATGCTCTTACTGGGGAGGGGACCAAACCCTGCCAGGAGACCCGGAGAAGCTGTTCTTCCAGGGATGGAGCCGTCGGAAGAGGCTGAAAGAGGCACCCTTTGCCTCACCTTCGCCCTCCGCGACGGGAAAAGAAGAGGCGTCGCCCCCGCAGCCCAAGCCTTCCAGGTACCGCTTTGCCTTGCCTTCCTTGGCCCTTGTCGCAGGATGGATCCCAGAGACAGGGCTTGCTTCCCCCAACCCACCCAAGCCTGTGCCTTCCACCTCTTGGAAGAGCCTCTTGCAGGCTTATTGAGAGAGCGGTCAAAAGGGGTGGTTTTTGTACCCAGTTGTTTCCTTCTGTGGTCATCTATACATTGGGTTGTTGTAGGTTTTTCAGGCTATATGGCCATGTTCTAGAAGAGGGGCCCTCAAACTTTTTAAACATAGGGCCAGGTCCAGGCATGTAGGGCGGGGGGGAGAGGCACCATTCTCATGGTGGTCCGCTAGAAGGCCTTACTGGTACATTATTTAAACTGTTATGTTTATTCATATCATGATCTGATCACCATGCTCAATATATCCCATATGCATGGGGGTATTGGGGTAACGATACAAAAGGTTTGCTAGGGTAGACCCTCTTTCACTCAGACTCAGCCCCCCCCCCAACCAAACTCAGCCCCCCTCCCCCAAAACAAAATTCTGGCTACTGGTCTGGCCAGGTCACAGTCTCTCAAACTGTTGGAGGGTTGGATTATAATTTGAAAAAAACAAACAAAAATAAATGAATTCTGCACATATCTTATTTGTAGTTCAAAAAAACACTTAATACAATAATTAAAATGAAGAACAATTTTAACAAATATAAACTTATTAGTATTTCAATGGGAAGTGTGGGCCTGCTTTTGGTTGATCAGATAGGATTGTTGTTGTTGTTGTTGTTGTTGTTGTTGTGTGCTTTCAAGTCATTTCAGACTTAGGTTGACTCTGAGGGCCAGGTAAATGACCTTGGAGGGGTGTATCAGGCCCCCGGGTCATAGTTTGAGGATCCCTGTTCTAGAAGCATTCTTTCCTGAAGTTTTGCCTGCATCTATAGCAAGCATCCCCAGAGGTTGTAAGATCTTCTGAAGGGGCCCTGCTCTTGTCCCCGCCCTTGTCACAGATTGGCAGGGACGAGGGATAGGGCCTTCTTGGTGGTGGCCCCCCACCTGTGGAATTCACTCCCTGGGGAAATTAGATCATCATCATCCTTCCTCTCTTTCAGAAGGAAATTGAAAACATGGATATGGGACCAGGCCTTTGGGTAATTTGGCAGACTGACAAGGACAATGACGACTAAAGCTTTGGAAACGGACTATGATAAGCGGAATGAATTTATTAATTATGGACTTGATGAAACAATAGTCACCAGGCGGGCTTTTTATTGTATTAATGTAATGTAATTAATGTAACAATGTAATTATTGTTACTATGTATTTTATTGTGTTGAATTGTAGGTATCAAACGCATGCCAGTTGGAAGCCGCCCTGAGTCCCCCTTAGGGGGTTGAGAAGGGCGGGGTAGAAGTACTCAAAATAAATAAATAAATAAATAAATAAATAGAACATGGCCATATAGCCCAAAAAACCTACAACAACCCAGTGACTCCAGCCATGAAAGCCTCCGACAATACATCTATACATTCCTTTGATCTGGGCCAGGCCTGGGCAAGCTTGGGCCCTCAAGATGTTTGGGACTTCAACTCTCACCATTCCTAACAGCTGGTAAGCTGTTAGGAATGGTGGGAGTTGAAGCCCAAAACACCTGGAGGGCCCAAGCTTGCCCAAGCCTGATCTGAGTAGTTTACTAAAAGCATAGATCTCCTTAGAATCATAGAATCATAGAGCTGGAAGAGACTTTGTAGGCCATCCAGTCCAACCTCCTGCCAAGAAGCAGGAATTTTTTAAAATTTTATTATGCCATAAACACAAATCAACAAGCCATATTGCAAGTTTTACAAGCATAAATCCTAAGTAATTTAACAAAGATTAATGGTAGTAGACCTTCCATCTATTTGTAATGACCTTTTGTTTGTCCGTTCTTGTTGCTTGCTTAGTCATAATTCCTGCAACGTTTAACAAAGTACCCTGGACAGATGGCCATCCAGCCTCTGCTTAAAAGCCTCCAAAGAAGGAGCCTCCACCACACTATGGGGCAGAGAGTTCCACTGCTGAACAGCTCTCACAGTCAGGAAGTTCTTCTTCATGTTCAGGTGGAATCTCCTTTCTTGTAGTTTGAAGCCATTGCTTTGAGTCCTAGTCTCCAGGGCAGCAGAAAACAAGCTTGCTTCCTCCTCCCTATGACTTCCCCTCACATATTTATCCATGGCCCTCATCATGTCTCCTCTCAGCCTTCTCTTCTGCAGGCTAAGCATGTGCAGCTCTTTAAGCTGCTCCTCATAGGGCTTGTTCTCCAGACCCTTGATCATTTTAGTCACCCTCCTCTGGATGCATTCCAGCTTGTCAACATCTCTTTTCAATTACAGTGTCCAGAATTGACACTAGGCATGGGCAAACCTTGGCCCTTGAGGTGTTTTGGACTTAAACTCCCACAATTTCTAACAGCTTCAGGCCCTCTCCTTTCCCCCCTCAGCTGCTTAAATGGAAAAAAGAGGAGAAAAGGAAAGGACTTTAGACTGTTAGAGATTGTGGAGGTCCAAAACACCTCAGGGGACAAAGTTTGACCATGCCTAGTGTCAATGGACCATTAGTTGGTTCTTTTGAGGTTGAAGGGGAATGGTCTTCCTGGTTTGCCGACTTATTTGTTGTTTTGTTTTTACTTTTGGGAGCAGTCTTGGGCAATATCATTGGGCACACTGTATAATACATTTGGTTGGCTGTGACTGTCTTCTACAGCTTTTTGGAGCCAAAATCGACCACCTGGAAACGAGACTGCGGAGAAATGCTGATGAGGATCTTGAGGTTTTTGTGAGGTGTGAGGTTCTGAACTGCAACGTCAGCAACCTTATTGATTCTTTGAAGGAAGTGGCTGAGGATGTGAAGACAAAGAGAGAAGAGAAAAGTATGTAAGCCACACCTTGGCATTCACTTGAAACAGAAATCATACACCAGAAAGAAGCACCAAAATCCCATCAGAAATGACAGGAGCATAGGGTCTTATCCCTCCTTTCATCTAACATGTGTCTTAAGATGGGATTTAAAAGAGACTAAAGACAAAGCAAAATAAAGAAACAAAAAGCTAATAAAAAGTCTAAACACAAACAGCCTATCATTAAAACATTCCTAATATTTAAAAAAGGTTGATATAATTTAGAAACACAGCCCTAAGTATAAAAATACAGTAGACACCCCTATCAAAAAGACTGACCATAGGATACTGATAATCCTCTCTTGCTTTAAAAATCTGACTTAAAGGGGGCGAAAGGAGATGGACAGAATTGGACTTGACAGAGCAAATCATATCCACCTTCAGTAACTAACTTTGCAAAACCTGCAAGTCCTCCTGTCCATCTGGTTGATAATGCTTGTGCTCTTGTATAATGTCCAGAAAAATTGCAAACACTATGTCCTCACTTTGCTCTTTATACTCTTGCCAACAGCTCCATGGTTCCCCAAGAAATTAAGAGATCTTGACCAATGCCATAGCCTGGTAACCAAATATGATCCTGGTTCAGATCATCACCACCCAGTAAGTTGTGAGTATACTTTCAAGGTTATCTAAGCCTAAAGACAATAAACACCTATTAAATATGAACATGAATAGTAATGGTTAAGATTGCCATTGACATTAAGTGTAGTCATGTCCAACTCTGGAGGGTGTGCCCATCTCCATTTCTATGCTGAAGAGTGTTGTCTGTAGACTCCTTCTAGGTCATGTGGCCAGCATGACTGCTGTTACCATCCTGCTGAAGTGGTACCTATTGATCGACTCACATTTGCATGTTTTCAAACTGCTAGGTTGGCACAAGCTAGGCCTAACAGTGGGAGCGCACCCTACTGCCCAGATTTGAAATGTTGACCTTCTGGTCAGCAAGTTCAGCAGCTCATTGGTTTAATCCGTTGCACCACCAGGGGGCATGAACATGAATAATCAATCATAAAAAAGCTCTTCTTCTCCATAAATTAAAACTCTGCTTGGAGATGTGTGCTGGTTTATTTCTGCACATACATAAAGATCTCAACAGTTATCTCTTCCACATTTCAAAATGTAGACTACGAGTTCATCTACAGCATTGATGTAGTGTGACACTACTTTAACTGTCATAGTTCAGTGCTGTGGAATCATGGGAACCATTGTAGTGTTACACGTTCTTCAGCCTTTTCTGCCAAAGAGTTCTAGTGCATCACCAAACTACAAATCCTATGATTTCATAGCAGTAGACCATTGTAGTTAGAGTGCTGTCAAACTGCATTAATTCTACAATGTAGATTTACCCCTAGAACATTGCACAAGGAGATATTTAGTACCTATGTCGGGGAGATAGGGTGAGTTATAAATAAAGCATTATTATTATTATTATTATTATTATTGTATTGTTATTGTGTTGTTGAAGGCTTTCATGGCTGGATTCACTGAGTTGCTGTGAGTTTTATTTATTTATTTATTTATATTTATTAGACTTGTATACCGCCACTCCCAATTTGGCTCGGAGCGGTTTACAGCAGTAGATTAAAACAATACAATTAACTTTAAAATACAATAAAAAACAGACATAGTCCCGAGTTATTCACCCATCGAAAGCTTGTCGGAAGAGAAAGGTTTTACAGGCTTTCCGAAAAGCAAGTAGGTCTCGGATAGTTCGGGTTTCAACTGGCAAGGCATTCCATAAATAAGGGGCCACAGTCAAGAAGGCTCTCTGCCTAGTAGAGGACAGATGATAAGTCTGGATGTTGGGGACTTCAAGCAAATTTTGGTCCTCGGACCGAAGTAATCTCTGGGGTTGGTAGGGGGATAAGCGGGCCCTCAGGGCCAGAGAATACTTCTGGAACATGGTCATACAGCCCAGAAAACTCATAGCAATACATTATTATTATTATTATTATTATTATTATTATTATTATTATTATTACAGTAAATAAAACAACAAAAAAAATAGTATTGTCAATTCTATGGCTCTATTACCAAAGTCTTCCTTGTGGTAGAAGTGATGGTGGTGGTTGCTTAATTTATTGTCGAAGGCTTTCATGGCCGGAATCACTGGGTTGTTGTAGGTTTTTCAGGCTGTATGGCCATGTCCTAGAAGCATTCTCTCCTGATGATTTGCCTGCATCTATGGCAGGAATTCTCAAAGGTTGTGAGGATGCCTGCCATAGATGCAGGCAAATCATCAGGAGAGAATGCTTCTAGGACATGGCCATACAGCCTGAAAAACCTACAACAACCCAGTGATTCCAGCCATGAAAGCCTTCGACAATAAATTAAGCAACACTTAATTTAAGTTTTAAAATGGAGTAAAGTATCTTCACAGTTTAAAAAATAGCATATTATTTTTATTGTTAACAGCCATCAGGTCAGCTTCGATTTATGATGACCCTATGAATGAAAGACGGCCGAATCACACTAATCTCGGTAATTCCAATCAGGTCTTACAGACTCAGAGCCATGGCCTCCTTTACTAGCAATAGCATCTTTTATGAGTCATCTCTTGTCACGATATGGCCTAAGTATGATAGCCTCAGTTTACTTGATGTTTATGAGTCTCTCTTTAATTAAACTTTATGAAGATAAGAGAGACCTTGTCCAGGATCCTATTGTAGCATTCTGTCTGTCAATTGACTATTTTGTGTGTTGCTTTACAATCAGACTGCTTACTCTATGGGTGATCAGCAAGAAAAGAGGCAATGGGAATTGGAGGCTGGTTCTGAGCTGCACATTTCACGTATTTCTGGGTTTGGGAGTCCTCAAAGGAAAGGCACTATGGAAGGGATGGTTTGGAAAATTTGTGGAAAAACTTACGACAACCTGTTACTTAATTTCCAAATTCACAACTCATTTTCACAGCTAAATTCAAACCCTGTAAGTGCATGGTTTTGATTGATTTGACTTTATGGCACAGAGTGCTGTAGAAGCATTTTCCCTTCTATTTTCAGGGATTTAGTGATCCAGAATACAGGAAGCGTAGAACCTTTATTGCTGACTTGGCCTTTAACTTCAGACAGTAAGTGCAACAATACTTCAGAATTAAATAAAAACATGTTTGGTTTGGTTTCTTTTTGTACATATTCTCTTGTGGTATGTGGTCTGGTTTTCTCTGTTCTCAAGTGTTTCTGGGATTGATGGAAGTTGAATCTTGGTTAAGATGTGTAGCATGCTTATTGTTGTAAAACTGGGATAATCGCTATAAGACATGGAGAATGCTAAAAGGTATTGAATCATAGTTTCTTGAATAAAATCCAAATAATTGTCCAAAACTCCAGACGATAACACCTAGTAGACTGTGAAACCAAGATAACAACAACAACAGCTCATTTGAGGTATCCAAATAGAATCAAGTGCTATCTCTTCTCTTCCACAGGGGAGACCCATTACCAAGAGTTGAGTACACTGCACAGGAAACTGCTACATGGTATGCTTATGATTTGCATGATGGTGCCTAGTATTGATTGATTGATTGATTGATTGATTGATTTACTGTATTTATATCCCACCTTTCTCACCCTGAAGGGGACTCAGAGTGGCCTTACAAATAAGCAGCAATTTGATGCCAAAACATACATATAATAGAATACACAGTTAGATTAATATGGTGACCAACTAAATAATAATAATAATAATAATAATAATAATGATGTTATTATTATTAATTAAGTAATAATAATAATAATAATAATAATAATAATAATAATAATAACAACAATAACATAAGAGTAGGAATACTGCATGGGTCACACAAGTGATCCTTCTCCTAGCAAAGTTAATAACCATCTAAATGCGCTTGTCTTCAGGAAAGAAATCTACCAGAAGCTGAGCGGTCTGTACCCCACCCACGCCTGTAAACAATACCTGGAAGCTTTCCACCAGCTTGAAAAATACTGTGGATACCAAGCAGACTGTATCCCTCAACTGCACGAGGTTTCTGCATTTTTAACAGGTAAACTAGTATGACACCATCCTTCCAACTCTAGCAGCAAGATCTGGGATGCCAAAACAACTCCCAAGGCCTGGCTAGGCACTTTAGCAGAGACCATTAACTTTAGCAGAGACTTGGTACTGATCAAGCTTCCTTGCCTCTCTTCCCCTTATGGTTGGATTTGGCAGGGAAGCTTGCTATGGGTTCCCATCATTTGAAAGTTCTTTCAGTGCATAGGATATCTGACCTACCACAGCTCTTGTTTAGTAGCCCATAAGGTAAACGTGAATCAACACTCTGATGTGACAGTAAAAAAGAGAACATAATTCCATGCTGTATTACAGCAATATTGCAATTAGATTTTAAAAAAGTAATTCTCCCACACTGTTCTACTTTGGTTAGAGCTCTATTTTAAAATAGGTCTAGGGCATTGGTTCTCAACCTTCTGAATGCTGTGATCCCTTGATACAGTTCCTCATGTTGTGGTGACTCCCAACCATAAAATTATTTCATTGCTACTTCATAACTGTAATTTTTGCTACTGTTATGAATCGCAATGCAAATATCTGATATGCAAGATGTATTTTCATTCACTGGGCTAAATTTGGCACAAATACCCAATATGCCCAAATGTGAATACTGGTGGGGTTGTGGGCGGAGTTGATTTTGTCATTTGGGAATTGTAGTTGCTGGGATTTATAATTTACCCACAATCAAAGAGTATTCTGAACTCCACCAACGATGGAAGTGAACCAAATTTGGCACACAGAACTCCCATGACTAGCGGAAAATACTGGAAGGGTTTGTTGGGCATTGACCTTGAGTTTTGGAGTTGTAGTTCTCCTACATCCAGAGAGCACTGTGGACTCAACAATGATGGATCTGGATCAAATTTGGCATGAATACTCAATATGTCCAAATGTGAACACTGGTGGAGTTTGGGGAAGATGGACTTCACATTTAGGAGTTGTAGTTGCTGGGATTTATAGTTCACCTACAATAAAAAAGCATTCTGAACATCACCAATGATAGAATTGGGTCAAACTTCCCACACAGAACCCCCATGACCAGCAGCAAATACTTTGTTTTCTGATGATTTTTGGCAACCCCCTTGTAACTCCCCTCCCCAGGTGTCCTGAGCCCCAGGTTGAGAAATGCTGGTCTAGGGACCAAAATACTATATAACTGTCATATATATTTGTTCTTTTTAGCAACAACAGGAGAATGAAGGGGGGAAAAAGACTAATGATGTACTCCCAAAACTGGACTGCAGGTGGAGTAAGATGAATATGATATTGGGTTATTTTAAAGCCTAATTCTGAATGATATTTTGGGGACTCTACCAACATGCTCATCACAACAGTGCCAGAAAATCACAGGAAAATGTATATATATATATATATATATCTAGGCATAGGAATACTGCATGATTTTCAAGTAATTAAATAGTATATGAGACACTGTGTATTATTTTTTAGGCTACATATATTGGTATACTGAAATGACTGGATTTCAAAGCAGGAGAAGTGACAGCCAAAGAAGAAAAGCAGTTTTATGTGGCAGCAGAGTTTGGCAGCCAAGAGAATGGGTCTTTGTTTCTATAGGTTTCTTTAGAGCAACTGGTCATGACTTTTCTTTCAACTCTCTTTGGGTTTCCAGAAGACATTAAGCAATTTGTCCAAGAAGACCCTGTTTCACCTCCAATTCTTTATTGAAGACTTATTTTTATTGGAGAGCAATAAAATACAAGTAAAATTTCCCATGTTACATTTTTATAATAACAAAAGTCCTTTTCAGCTTTGCTCCCACCTAACAGACATGGCAGGGGGAGAACCCCTAGGGTGCCATAGTTTAAGAATATGAGCTTGGTGTTCTTTCTTTTCTAACAGACATGGGATCTAATTTTTCAAATGACTCAATGAGGATTTGTTAACCCGAGAAAATTGTAGAATTAGAAAAGCACAATATTTTAGCATTGGGTGGAGAATGAGAACATACAGCTTTATTTCAAAGCTAAAAAGAAAGGGCTTTCCAAGAGAGAGAAGTGTATCCAACATCTGGGAGAGATCTTTTTATGGCATTATAGCATTCATGAAAAAAGTATGAAGCTATGGTAGTAGCAATGCCTTGTAGCTGTTAGTTCATAAGATTTATTTACCAAAAATGTCTGCTTCCTTCCTAGCATGGAGTCCACCCTTCACTAGGTTGGCTGGTTTAGCTACAATGACTAGTAGATGCTAGGTGAACAATTTCAGCAGATGTGAGAACTCTAAACAACCAATGGTAGTGAGGTATACAGCCACTGTGATGACATACTGTGGAAATTTTGTGGTGCTTCCCATAGAGCTTCAATCCCCTCCCTGTATTATTTTAAAATTAAAAAGGTGCATTGAAATGTACATCATGTGTCATAGATAAATTGTGCTTCTGGGAATGTGATTCAGCTTTTAAAAAAGGAATGTATTCCCAATTGCCTCGCTTTAAACAAAAAGGGAGGGAGTTGTATCTCCATTATTATGCCTCCAAAGCCTTATGGGGAACACAAAATAGTGAATCTCACACGATTTGCAAACAGTATATGTCTATGGTATAGTTGGAAGGAACCTTAAGAACCATCTAGTCTAGTGGTTCCCAACCTTTTTTTGATACGGGACCACTTGATCAGGGACCACTCTCCAACATTAGTACCAAAAGGGTTATGAATCAGTTTTTGGTCAACTTTAGATTTTAGATTATTTGGGGTGCTTTTTTCATGTCAGGAGCACTGCTTCTGGTGTGAGAGATTTGGCTGTCTGCAAGGACATTGGCTAGGGGATGCCCGGATGTTTTTGACATTTTACCTTCCTTGTGGGAGGCTTCTCTCATGTCCCCATTTGGGGAGCTGTAGCTGATAGAGGGAGCTCATACCCACTTTCCCCAGATTTGAACCTCCAACCTGTTGGCCTTCAGTCCTGCCAGCACAAGGGTTTAACCCATTATGCCACTGGGGGGTCCTATTAGGGGTGCTGATTCAGAAAATTGCATTGGAAAGACCACATCAGCTCTAGTTTCTGATACAGAATATATGCCATCTAGTAGTCACGATCTTCTAATCAACAAAAAACCATATTTAATAAGCCTCGGCACTCTAAGAGGGTTTTGCAAGACCGGTCGCTCTTGTTGCAACGGTGTAGTACCGGTGAGACTGTGGACCATGTTTTAGTTCTTGTGGACCACTGATGATCCACAGACCACAGGTTGGGAACCACTGATCTAGTCCATGCCATGCACAACTATCCATTTTGAAGTGCGGCTACTCTGATGTCAGGCTTTCATCCCTCCTCTACAAGTAGAGCAACCACCCCACACTTCTTCTAGAAATAGCAGTCTCCACCCTCCGAAAAATAAAACCCCAAAACAACATCCATAGTACAGATGATGAAATAGCACCCTCATTATTCACACTTCTTGCTCTGAAAGGTGACATATTTATTTATTTATTTATTTATTTTGTTTCAAACATTTGTACCCTGTCCTTCTCAATCACTGAGGGGGGACTCAAGGCGGCTCACAACAGAAACGATTTGATGCCAACACATACAAAAACACAATACAACATGATGTAACAGAGTAGATAAAAACATTAGGTTAAAAACCATTTAAAACATTATTATCAACCATATTGCCATATCCTAGTCCAGTCCAAAACCTGTCCATAGTCCATTCTAAAACATTGCAATTGCAATTAAGCCATATCTATTGAGCTCTAAAGTCAACTTAGGCAGCAGTTATATGACATTGCTGCTCCTATATGGAGCATTGCTCCTCCCCAAATAAGAATACTACTCTGGCAATTTTTTTCACAAATCCGAAAATGTTTAGAACTGCAAAAACCAAAACTTTAATGGAGCATTTGGAAATATGCTTTTGATCTCCAAAGAAAAGGGGATGCAATAGTTATCAAGAGAATGGTAACACATCCCAGATAGCAGTGGTTCCCAACCTTCCAGGGGTTTTGGACTTCAAGTCCCACAAATCCCAGTCATCTTACCAGCTGTTAGGAACTGTGGGAGTTCAAGTCCAAAACATCTGAAGGACCAAAGGTTAGGTACCAATGGATACAGTGGTATGCACTATGGTTCTTCAGAGAAGAACCATAGTGCAATTATATTAACTGGAACTATGTGCAATGACTGGATTACAATGGCAGGTTGTGTGGTTTTATAGTGATAGTAATTTTTATAATGTTTTTATGTATTTTATTTTAATTTTAATGTATTTTAACTGTATATTGTTGTGAAGGCATTGAATTATTGCCTATCTGTAAGCCACCTTGAGTACCTTCTGAAGTAGAGAAAGGTGGGATATAAATACATAAATAAATAAGTAAATGCTGTATGACCCTCCATATCTACAGAGGATACATTCATGAACTTACCATGGAAGCAGGAAACCTTGGATGATAGCAAACCCTATAGAAATGAATCACTTCCTTTAGGAGTTACTATAGAGTTGACCTGGAGGACTTAGAAAATTCCTTTAGAGGACATATTTTGCCAGATAGAACCACAAGTACTGATCCTACCATGTGTGTTTCAGGAAAGGAAAACTGCACAATATGTTGATGGCGTTCAGCCCTGAAAAATAAAAGCTGCGGTGGATTGGTCGAAAGGAGCCATTCTGGGGCTTGGGAGCTCCTCACATGCATAAGAGTTCGGGATGTAAATGATTTTCAGTGTTTCAAAATCTACAATGCTAGATATTTACAGAAGGAAAATTTCATTGGCAATGGAAGGAAAATTTCATGCAAGGGCAAAATTCTTATTTGGAGGCAGTACTTTCCTCCCCCCGCCCCCCCCATAGCTGATGCTACCCTGATGGATGGGATGTTGATTTCATTAACATTTCTCCATCTCATGTACACTTCAATTTAATTGCTCTGTTCATTTCTTTTCCAGAAAGGACAGGATTTAAGTTGAGGCCAGCTGCAGGGCTTCTATCTGCTCGGGACTTTCTTGCTGGACTGGCGTTCCGCGTCTTTCAGAGTACACAGTATATTAGACACTCATCGTCCCCTATGCATTCTCCCGAACCGTGAGTAGGAGTGAGGTGGTCTTGTAATAGTTCTCAGCCCTGGCTAACAAGGACAGCAGTGGTTCCATATACGTTGGACTGGTGCTTTGCATAAACATGATATTTCAGTTTTGCCAGAACTGGGACGTGAGGAAAGTAGCTTGGAGTGGGAGGAATATAAAGGAAAACTTCAAGGTTCTCACACACTTTGGCATCAGTTTTATTTTCACTGTCAACCTCAATTATTTATGATACGTTCACACACAACACCCTTCTCTGTCCGCACCATCCCTTCTCAGATCCTACACTCCTTCTTTTGAAGAGGAAGATCCATATTTTACGATATTATGCTTTTTTCCCCGAATGTTGACATTAGAGTCCAATATCAGCATTTGAATTGCCAAAGTCCACTTAATTTTTTTTCAAAACTTGTGGAAATTTGTCTGAAGTTCAAACCACACAGGAGGCTGATCATATGTAATACTCCCCCCTACACATACAATGCTGTGGTTTCTTGGACGAAATGAATTCTCCTTTGGTTGATTAATGTGTAACACATCATACAGAAGCCAGCTGGTGATCCACTTTAAAATGAACACACTTACACCTCATGTTTTCAAATAAATTGTGTGTCAAATCAACAAATGTGGAGGGGCAACTGTAATTGTAAATTACACATGCATTTACATATATAAGTGGTTAGTACTAGAATCTGAGCAATAATTTACAAGGAGGTTTAAGCTATGGCTTTTTAAAAAATTGCTGGAATGGCTTGATTTGAGGGATTACCAAGCATGATCGTAAGGCAAGATTGATTTATTTGTAGAGATTTTAGAATTTCATGTGAAACAGCTCAGTGTTTCCCTTCTCCTTGGGTATAGATGCAGCTGAGACAGGCTGTTTCTTGCTCATCTGAACTACCATCCTCCCCCTGTCCCAAGCCAATGAGAAACTGCAGTAGAAAACCACCACCATCATTCATCTGCACAGCTTTACTGTTGCTTTAGGAGCGATGTTCTGCATGGTGCTAAAGGGATTCGTGTTTTGTGCACCATCCAAAACAGCACATACACATGCACAATGTGGAGTCAAACACATGAGCAAGATTCCAACTAGTACAAGGAGCTGGACATCAGCAGCTGTTTGGGCCCTGAGGCTATCAGTTTCACCACTGATAGTCCAACCTACAGCAGTGGACGAGAAGACAGAGGAAATGACATTCAAGTAAAGCAATGGAAAATTCCAGAGTAGATCTATGTATGTTTTCTGAATTTACAACTTGGCTACCACGTGTTGCCAGACAAAAAGGAAAAAAAAACACATTTTATGACATGTTTTAAACATCATTTTGTTTTCACAGGGATTGCTGTCATGAATTGTTGGGCCATGTTCCCATGTTGGCTGATAAGGAATTTGCCCAATTCTCACAGGTAATATTGCTGTTGTTCAGCTTGAAGATTTTGTAATTGGAAAAGAGCCTGTTTTCACCGATATGAGCACAGTAATAGAGAGTGCATGTAACAGTCGGAAATCCTGACTAAAAATAAGAATATAGTAATGTAACAACAAGCAATTAAGACTGCCAGCTTCTAGCATACTTTTCACCACCCTTTAACCTGCCTCCTTTCCCACAATTGTCGGCGAATTTTTAAGCTGCTCCTTACATTTTCACATTGCTAGTAAAATGCTTTATATATAACAGCATTGCTTTTATGTGGCTATTTTTGTCAATTTGACTGTCTCTTCCTGTATAGCAATAATACAATACTTTTTGTTTAGGATATTGGATTGGCTTCCCTTGGAGCATCTGATACCGATATAGAAAATCTATCAGCTGTGAGTATGCATTGCTTTGTGATAGTGGGTTCATGGAATACCAACATGGAAGACTCCTTCTATGTATAACACTGCTTTCTAAATTTTTATTTATCACACTGCTGTCCTGTAAATTACATACTTTGTATTTGACATTTTTTAGGTATCTGAGCTAGAAAAACCAAATTGCATATACACAAAGTACACACTTCTTTAATCTCAATTATTCCAATTTTCTCATGCATCAGGGTGCTCTGACATTCCAGTATGATCAAAGTAGAAAACCAACCATAAGCTTAGCTGCAGTTGAAAAATGGGGACATTGCAGGTAGGACAAAGGGTTAGGGAGAAAATGAGTAAGCTGCCCTACCATTTTTTTAATTTATTTATTTATTGTGTCATCCGCAATCAGAACATTGTATTACATTTCTAACAGAACAAAACAAACAGATAAGATAAAAAACCCTCAAATTTTGCAAACTTGGTAGCTGATTAAATGTCCTTTGACCAGTATCTGGCCACTTGGAGTGCCTCTGGTGTTGCCGCAAGAAGGTCCTCCATCGTGCATGTGGCAGGGCTCAGGCTGCATTGCAGCAGGTGGTCAGTGGTTTGCTCTTCTCCACACTTGCATGTCGTGGATTCAACTTTGTAGCCCCATTTCTTAAGATTGGCTCTGCATCTCGTGGTGCCCTACCAAATAAGGATAGTGTTTCGCAATGACATTTTCTCTCTCCATGCCCCAAATTTCTAGCATTTCATGAGTTAGACATTTAAAATTATTTACTTCTAGAACTCTTACATTTGTTGCATTCATATTCCTCAGTATTTTTCCAGCCACTTTCTTCTGAAGGCTTAATCCTTATTTCTAAATCCTTATTTCTAAAAACTCTACCGAACTTTTAAGTGATTGCAGTGGTAGAAATTTGTGGACTGAATGGATATTTAATTTGGGAACCACAATTCTCATGGGGAGGCAATGTCCTCATTTTGCTACTTATTAGTTGCATTCTCACCACCCATTTAGAGTTATATTATCTATATCAGACATGGGCAAACTTTCTAACTTGAGGACTGCATGGCGGGTAAGAGTAGGGTGGGCAGACCAGAAGGGAGGGAGTTCTCACCAAGTCCCCTCCCTGTCTTTTCCTCCCCTTTCTCTTCTTTTTTGGAGGCAGAAAGTGAAGGAAAGAAGGGAAACATTTGGATCCCAGAAAGGTTGGTATTGGTCAGGATGAGATGGTGGATGGGAGAGAAAAAGTGTATCCATTAGACCCCTGTATTTTCTACTCCTGATATATAATCCTAGACTCCTAGTGCAAAAAGAGACCCCCAAGGGCTACCCAGTCCAACCCCCTGCCATGCCGGAAGGCACAATCAAAGCACTCCCAATAGCCAACCTCTGTGGAAAAGCCTCCAGAGAAGGAGACTCCACTGCACTTCCAGGCAGCCTATGCCACTCTCCAACAGCTCTTACTCTCAGGAAGTTCTTCCTAATCTTTTCAGGGAAATCTCTTTCCCTGATATTTGAAACCATTGCTCCCTGGTGCCCTGGTCTCTAGAGCTGCAAAAAGTCAGTTTTCCCGCTCCTCTTCAATGGGACTCCCTTTTAAATCTTGAAACATGGTTCTTATATTGCCTCTCACACATCTCTTCTCCCAAATAAACATCCCCCAGGAGGAAAGGGAGAAGAAGAAAAAAGAGAAGGAAGAAAAGGAAGGAAAGGAGGAAGAAAAGGAAAGGTGGAAGGGAATTGAGGGAGGGAGGGAGGGAGGGAGGAAAGACAAAAAGGAAGGAAGGAAGGAAGGAAGGAAGGAAGGAAGGAAGGAAGGAAGGAAGGAAGGAAGGAAGGAAGGAAGGAAGGAAGGAAGGAGAAAGAGAGAGGGGGAAGGAGAATGGAGAAAAGGGGAGGAGGAAGGACAAAAGGGTAGAAGGAAAGGAAGAAAGAAGGGAGAAAGAGGAAGGGAAGGAAGAAGGAAGGAATGAGAGAAGGAAGGAAGGATAGGATGGTGAGAGAGGAGAGGGCCTGAAAAAAGAGTCCAAGGGGCCACATCTGGCACCCAGGCCTGGGTTTGCCCATACCTGATCTATATGTTAAGAATACTCTTGCTGTCAGTATGTGTAATTAAGACATAGATTAAGACATGTGTGCAAATACACCAGTTCCTCTGGAATCAAAAACTTTTAATACATGGTCCTGACAACTTGTTGCCCTTAACCATCTCTGTAGTATTGGTTTTTGGTGACCAGAATTCAACTGCAGATCATTATTTTGCTTTCCCATCATGTGCTAGGCTGATCCATTTGAGGGCCAGTGAAGACTCTTACCAATGGAAGACCACCTCTCAGAATCACAGAAATATGGAGAGAAAGGAATAAACCAAGAAACAAATGGATGCAGTTTGCATTCTCCATACCAATAAAGGGCAACCTAGTGAGCAGGATGCCGACAGTAGAGGAAGACATACTTTTAGAGCATTTTAAATGATCTCCTCTTTGTGTTTCTTGTAGCTCTACTGGTTTACAGTTGAATTTGGTCTCTGCAGACAAAATGGAGCTATCAAAGCCTATGGAGCAGGTCTCCTTTCCTCGTATGGAGAGCTGATGGTAAGTTTTAAAACCATTTATGTTTCAGTTTCCTGGATATGAGTAGCTTCTTCATAAAGATCAACTGTTTCAAGATAACAGTGTTAATTAGATAAACTTACCAGTTGCTGTCACTGAAGGATAGTGCTGATCCTTACGCTCAGTAGTACATTTTATATTCATTGGTTTATGCATTTTTTGCACAAGAAACAGCATAATAATTCTATGGAAAATAGTGTTTCTTGTGCTGTTTTGTATGCAAAACAGCTACATGTGAATTTTGCAGAGAATAAATCTCCACAGACATATTATATTGAACTGCAAGTAGACTTTGAAAACTCTATGGTTTTCAAATACTTCTTCCAGTAGGAAGAAATTATTTCTTGCTTAGTGGAGAATTATATTCTTAGGAAACATATGTTTGGAGATTGCAATTTTTTACTGCTTTAGGTCTTGTTTTGCTACGTGGGTTTCGAGACCCTTCGGGGAGAGAGGGCGGTCTAGAAACAAAGTATATTTTATTATTATTATTATTATTATTATTATTATTATTATTATTATTAAGGTCACTCAACCTTTTGTCCTTCAGAGTGGAAGAAAAGGTCTATACAACAATGTCTGAATCAAATTTTGGAAAGCTACTTTTTTGGACTGCAGCTCTCAGAATCCCCCAGTGAGCATAGTCACTGGCCATGTTAGCTAGAGGATACTTGGAGTTACAGTCCCCAAAGGTAATGATCCCATCTTCTAGCATGTTCTCATAACTGACATGGAAGAACTTGCCTGCTGGCCAACCATTTGTTTCCTTAGGAATAGGAATGTGCCTGAGACACTTTGTTTTGCTCTGTAATTTTTACTGTACTGTCAGCTGCTCTGCATTATATCAAATGAGTCCTCTGTTAACACCCAGCCTGGAGTTCAGCCTGTGTACAGTAAAATGCAACAGCCCATACTTCACAATTGGCAGACCTTACCCTCTTTGCATGCTTTGTTTGTAGAAGCATAAGGCTCACTCAGCTGCTACAAGGTTATATTGGGTCAATTCAACATTACGAAGTATAACTTCCCACAGCAAAAATGAAAGATTCTGCTGGAAAGAAATGTGCCTGAGATCCTAAAACCTTTCAGCTGGTATTCACAAGGCCTGAAACATAATATAGTTGCGTATTATGACTAAGGCATCTGGTTTAGATTTAAAGAGTGTCCTTTCAGAGTTAGCCTATGAACTATACAGTGCTAAGGAAGAAATTAGTATTCCATTTTTATGCCAAACAGCTTTCCCTCCCTTGCAGACATCTTATGCCATCTTTGGGGTAAATTCAAAGTTTGGACAAATTACATTTTTGGAATATAACTCCAAGCATCCTCTAGCAATCATAGTCACTGGCAAGAAAGACTGGGGGATTCTGATAGCTCTAGTACAAAAAGTAACTTATCTTGGCTCTGGACCAATGCATTATTAAAATGGGAGTTTTGTGCATCTTCCAATCCAACCATTTCACTGAAGATCATCTTTGCCTTCACTAAAGGCAAATCATCTTTGGTGATGTGTTCATTCTGCTCAGAGGGTGACTGAAGTTTTTTCAGACCATCTTGATCCTGCTGCTGGCATCCTTTCACCGCTATGGAGAACTGATGGAGAAGGAGAAAGTAACAAAGTAAAAGAGTCTTTTGGTGTCCAAGGCTGGCTGGGGAGAGACATTGCCCTAACTGGCTGTGTAACAAGGTTCCCATATTCAAAATAACAATAGTGACAACTCCAAACTATTTTATAACTGGAAAGGGTGATTAGATTTTATCGAACCCAGTTCCCAATGAGGTAAGTACAAATTTATCCACAGAAATATATAACATTGAATGCAAAATATCAGCTAGTTAAATGAAACAAGTTTACAGGCAAACATGAAATACCTGGAGATCTACAATTCATGTTTGTTAAATATGAGGGAATAGCCCATCTTGTGGGAGGTGTGGAGTAAGCCATCCCTCCCTCTAGGGTTGACTTCAAGTCACATAGTATTCTTAGCATAGGTCCCCCTCTTTCTTTCTAGGTCGTCTTAAGACAGCATTTTGGATGCTGCTTGTCTGCTGTAGTCCAAATCAGCACCCATGTAGACCTCTTTGACATATCTAGACATTATTTTGTAATGCTCGCATTATTCTTTCATAACAGTATGCTTTATCAGAGAAGCCCCAATACAAACCCTTTGACCTGGATATGATGGTGGTTCAGCCGTATCAGGATCAGGCATTCCAGTCCATTTACTTTGTAGCAGAACATTTTGAAGATGCAAAATTGCAGCTCCAGTAAGTAATGAAAAATGAGACCAATCTGAAAACAATGAATTTGGGTCACCAGATCTCTGAGCCTGGCCACGGGGCTCCAGTTTTATCTTGATGAGGGAAGAGGACAGACACTATTCAGTTTTAGGAAGCTAGGGTCCTGGCACAAGAGAAGGGCTCTGTGCTAATCTCCAGCTCAGTTAGTAGAGCTTTCCACAGTTTGGAGGGACTGATGCATTTGTTGCTGCAATTTGCTAAAAATTATCCTAGCGGTCTATATATTTTCTCAGTTAACTTCCTTCTGTTCTCTGCTTCCATTATAAGTCCACCTAAAAGCAAAAAGAAGTAAGTGGGCCAGATTATTTCCCCCCCCCCCCCCAAATGCTTGAGTAAGGGATAATGAATAACTCCTTCAATTTATTTTGATCTGGGAACAGCTCCTTTTGCTAAGAAATCTGTCTTAATTTTCAAACAAGAAAATATTCTCTTGCTCTCTCTCGCTCTTTCTCTTTTTCTGTATTTGCATCACAAATTGTGAGTAATTTAGTAGTTGGTACTAAATGCACAATACTTACTGAATAGGGCTGTCCCAATCGGCCTCAGTGTCTGGTCCGATCCTAATCTGGCAACGCTACAGTGAACATATTTATTTATGTATTTATTTATTTATTCATTCATTCATTCATTCATTCATTCATTCATTCATTTATTTTGTATAAAAAGCATTGCATAGATTAGTTTTAAACTGATAAAAATAGAAGGAGTACAAGCAGCTAAATAGCTTTTGACCAAAAACGGGCAACAGTGACTGCATTATCTGTAGCCTCAAACAATTATTCCTCTGTACATGAGGCAGGACATTGCGTACAAGAATACAGATGCAGAGTTGTTTGTTCACACTAGGTGGAGAATTTTAGGTAGTGCCATTTTCCCAGATTGTTATTTGCTCTACCCACTGTTCAGGGACTTCCAAGTTGTCCATTCTTGGTTTGCCCCTGGTGGCAGAGCCTTGGGGGGGGGGGGGTCCAATTGGGATTTCCTGGTTTAGCTGCCCAGAGGGATACTCTTGGTGTTGCTGGGGGAACATTAAAAGAGGAGTCGTGGTTCTCTTGAAGCCTTTCCTTGATTTGAGTCTTCTTGGAGGAGACTGATAGCCATACAGTGGGTGGCTTTCACAGTGTTCAACTTTATTTCTCTCACAGTTAGCAACAATTTCCCATTGCTAACTATGAGAACCACCACTGCCTGCTACAGGTGTAGGTTGAAGACATCCTGTGATTATTCTGCATGCTTCATTCAATGCTATGCTCACCAGCTTTGCGCTGGCAAACTTGTGCCAAACAGGACAGACATACTTGGCAGTTAAGTAAACACATCATACACATAGATGAGTTGGCTTTTAGAAGATTTCCCTGTAAAATATACTGTAGATAAATGTGTGGAAAGATACACAAATGTTTTATAACTCTTGCTACCTTGGTGCTGAGCTTAGAAAGGGGTTTTTTTTTGTACCCAGGGCCCCCCAAATCCCCAGCCACCCTCTGACCATCTTGTGCTACCTCTATTTTCCTATCCATTTGACAGTGTGCCAGGAGGTGGCAAATTTGTGGTTGAAAAAACAACTGGAAACCCATCTTCTGATTATCATTTTACTCAACAGGAAATATGCCTTGACACTCAAGAAACCTTTTACTCTGCATTATGATCCTTTTACATGCAGCATAGAAGTGCTCGATTCACCACAAAAAGTGAAAGAAGTCATCACTCACTTGAAAGAAGAACTGGGAAACCTGTGTCATGCTTTTGAAAGGTTTTTGTAAAAGGATGTAGGTTTAATCTTTCATGATGATAAATGTAATGATAGGAGACATGTACATTTTGCTGGCTTAAATAAATTTAGTATTTACAGATACTGATGGCACAGCCTGGGAAAATATTTTTAAGACGAATTGATTAAACGACCTGCTGAAGGCATGCATAGATGGGTGGTAATAGGAAGGTGTTCACCTGTGTCCTAGAGCTTCTTAGTTTTTCCCCCAATTGTGACCCCTTTTTGCCTTTTTGCCTGGTTAGATGAGTCTATAAAATAAATATAAAACCCAAGCATTTGCTTATATCAAATCAGCATTTATTTATTTATTTATTTCCTATATTTATACTCCGCCCTTCTCCCCCCAAAGGGGGACTCATTGGCAAGTCTGGCTAAACAGGCTGATTTTCCTATTTTGTGCAGTCCACTAGAAACATTGCACGACAGATTTGTAAAACAACCACTAGGTGGCATTTAGAAACCTTTTACTGTTGCCAATCTTTTTGTGACCCTAACTGAGCTCAGGGACCCCATTTGGAGTTGGGACTCACAATTTAAGAAGCGCTGTCCTCCAGCATCGTCCTATAACTGCTCAGTTTTGGAGGGTTTCCTCAAAAAGTGATTATATTCCTTCTTAAAAGTAACTTTCCAAGCTACAATAATGATTTCTAGAACAAAATTGGTTAGCAAGACATTGAATGTGAATATGAAAAGCAATGTGTTCTTTAAAAATGCCCCGGATATTCTGGCTGCCACTGTTTTTTTAGGGTGCATGAACATTATAGGACTAATGCAGTTTGACACTTCTTTAACTGCTGTGGCTCTATGCTATGGGATAAAGGGAGCTGTAGTTTTACAAAACCTTCTCTGCCTCACTAAACTACAAATCCCCCATTTCTGATTCTTCCAATGGAGTTTACGAGGTGGACATATGAGCTGAGAACCATAGTGTGTGCTCTGGTCCTCCAAATCAATATACTTTGTTGGAATGATACCATGGTCAAGATTAATTATACTACCAAAGACCAGTCTCACCTCCCTGAGCTCCATGGATGTGATAAAACAAAGATTTGCAGAGAGTTGTGAAAATGAGTAGAAACTATTAAAAAAAAACCTCCAAGCAACCAAGTTTTCATGCAGCTCTATACTGTTGGCCACTGCCTCAAGGTCAGAAGGTGGGTATTTCCTGTACGGAGGAGTGTGTATACATAGCCGGCTGTTAAGAATTGTGGCAGTTGAAGTCCAAAGTTTGCCTATGCCTGCTGTATAGGCTAATGAGAATATGGACAATCTTTAGTTGAGATGTAGCATTGTGTTGTAATTTGACAACATTTCTGCTATAACCACCAGATGGCAATCTCTGCCCTCCCCAAACTGCAATGGAAAAACATTTTTCCTTCTTCTGGATTATTTTTTTAGTTAATAGAAAATATATTGTTTGGCACATTGATGGCAAAAAAAGTGTGTGCATGCATACTGCTACCCATTTGCTTCACTTTCTCTTGATATCACTTTATTTTCCTGAACGTATCATTTTATGGAAAAGAGACAGGCTGGGAATAAGTTGGTGGTACTTTAAACTATATGATTTTTAATTGCCTCTGTGCCCAGTATCCTAAGAAGATAAAAGAATTCTGGCACTAGCCCATGAAGTTCTGTGCTAATAAAAATTGGAGACATTGCCAAAACAAGGTGTAGATATTGCTCAGTGTTTTTGTTTTACATAGCAGACACATCCACATCACCATAAAAGGGAACAGCCACACTCAGAGTAATAATGGATGTGATTTTAGACAAAGTAACAGATTGAGCAACTCAAAGAAAAGGAAATAGCAGAAGTAAACAGTACAAAATACAGTAAGCTTCCCATATACGTTAAGGGGATATGTTTCCAACTGTACCATGGTAACCTGAAATGGCAGATATGCCCAAACACTCTTAGATTCCCTAGTTTCTGGTCCAAGAATACCATTGAGTTGCACTGAGAGACCTAGGGTGGCTCCAAACAGCCTTTTATCCCAGGAGTATCCGCGTTTTAAAAACATGGGGGCCTGTCCACACCAACCCCAGATAGCGTGCACTTTCTGGAGTGGGTGCCCAGATGTTCTTCTGGGACTAGCCCAGGAGAACGTCTGGAGGCCCTCCCCCCAAGTCCCCAAGTCCCCAGACCCCTTAAAAGTAATGAAAACTTACCCAACCTCCATTACAGGCTTCGACCAGCTCTCCCGACACATAGAAATGACGCACCAGGAGAGTGTGTGTGCGTGGGGAGGGGGGAGATTTTCCTCCCTCCCTTTCCCACCACTCTCCTGGCACAACATTTCTATGCACCAGGAGAGCTGGTCAAAGCCTGTAATGGAGGCCGGGTAAGTTTTCATTACTTTTCTAAGGAGTCTAGTTGTTAGTGGTCCAGCATTTCTGTGTTCTCAAATAATATACTGTGTCCAAGTTGGTTCATCAGGTGCTCTACTATAGCTGACTTCTCTGGTTGAAACTCAATTTTTCTAGTTTCCAACAAACCTCACAACTTCTGAGGATGCTTGCCACAGATGTAGGTAAAACGTCAGGAGATATTGCTTCTAGAACATGGCCATAAAGCCCGAAAAACCTACAACAACCTTGTTAGCAACAGTGTGCAGTGTTTATGATGGACTATGCAGAAAATGCTTCAGCTGTACGCCACAAAAAGAAAATTAGCTGTTTAGCAAGCCTTGAAAATGCTGATTTATTATCAGTAAATGTTTAGTTTTTACACCTATTATATATACCTGGGATCATGGAAAAATTCTCAAGTGGAAAGGGGTTGTGAGTGAAAAAGGTTTAAGAAACCCTGGTCTATAAGAACATGTCTCATGATGGAGAGATGTGTTCCTCAAGATGTTGAATGGCTGCAACTCCTATAATTCATAGCACAGCCAGTGATCAGTGCTCCAATAATATTTAAAGGTCATAAATTTTGCCCCTTCCAAACAAATCTTCACCTACAACTGCAAAAGCTTTTTGTGCCTTGCCAAGTGGTGCAGGAGAGCTACAGGGTCAAAACGTGTCCATCCATCCTCCTCCCCAAGTAGAAAAGCACATATCCTCAGGGACCATAATGATTAATCCTCTGCTGTCCCACTTTTTCAACTTTTAAAGTAGCCTCCACTCATCTAACTCAGCAGGAGGGAGAGCAGAGGTGGAGTGAAATCTTGCCTGGCTTGTAGGAATCGGATTCAAGATTCTGTTGTCAGAGAGAGATCTGGGAAGCTGCTGACTTCAGAACAAAATATTCTGGGTTCTTGCCCTGTGGTAATGGAGCCTGGTTGCTTTTATTCCAGTTCTGTTTGGGTGGCTTTTGAGTAGATCAAGGTCCAGCTGACAGACAATGGGAACCTTCATTGCTTTGGCAAGAATCTTTTGGTCGACTTAATGGGAACAGAGCAAAATGAACACTGAGTGCTCCTGAAAGTCTTTGGTAATCTCAAGAATATAAGTGTGCAGCTTGAAATGCCAAGGCTTATGCAGACCCTCAGCGCTGATGGTAAGTGTAATAAAGCCAAACCAGGACAAGCTGCATTGTGGAGAAACAAAGAGATTGATGGGAAAGTATTATGGAGCCATTAGAGGAATCATATAGCCGCCAAAGATTATAGTTACATTTTGGGCTATCACTCCCAGAATCCCCTGCCATAGGCTATACTGACTGGGGGACTATAGGAGATATGGTCCAAACAAGTAATTTCCACATACTATCCACAAACATTTACCTTATTGGGGCTTACAGTTGGCAAGAAGGACTTGGAGATGGGATTGGAACAAGAGGGAAAGGAAAGGGCTCTGAATTTGTAGTTTTTCTGTAAGAAGTGGGTCACTACTCACCAGTGCTAAGAATATTGACAATAGAAGGACGGTTGTATTCTGAAGATGCATAAACCTGTCTTAATTTTTTGTAGATGTTTTTGGTCTTCAACTCCCAGAAATCCTAACAGCTGGTAAACTGACTGGGATTTCTGGGAGTTGTAGGCCAAAAACATCTGGGGACCCCAGGTTGAGAACCACTGAACTAAGAGATCAGCCTTTTAATCCAAATGAAAGTCTACAGTCCTCCAAACATGCCATTATGTTTGGATCCTGTTCTTCTGTCATCATCACCATCATATAGTTTCTGTTTTTGTGGTATGAAAAACTTGTGTGTATAAGGTATAACTGAAGTATAACTGAATACTAAGGTCCCACCTTCAACATATCTTATTATATAAAAGGTAAAGATTTCCCCTGACATTAAGTCTAGTCTTATCCAGCTCTGGAGGGTGGTGCTCATCTCCATTTCTAAGCCAAAGAGCCGGCAATGTCCGTAGACACCTCCAAGTTCATGTGGCCATCATGACTGCATGGAGCACCTTTACCTTCCCGCCGAAGTGGTACCTATTGATCTACTCACACTTGCATGTTTTTGAACTGCTAGGTTTGCAGAAGCTGGGCCTAACAGCGGGAGCTCACTCCGCTTCCCAGATTCGAACTACCAACTCTTTGGTCAGCAAGATCAGCAGCTCAGCCATTTAACCCATTGTGCCACCAGGGGGGGCATATCTTATATACATTTCTGCAAATACAGGCATTCTAAAATCTTAAAAAATCTGAAATCCAAAACTTTTCTAGTTCCAAGCATTTTGGATAAGGGGTACTCAATCTGTATTAACAGAGGACCAGCCTGGTTCAGACAGTCTTCATGCATAACAGTCAAAACATGTGGATCCCAATCAGAACAATTCTTCTCCCCCTTTATGCCATGGTAGTTAGGGTTCCCAGATTTAAGATTGCAGAAGTTCCCTGTATTTTTAATTGTTTTGTACAAGAAGGAAATTCAGTAGGTATTGCTTGTTATCTGGTTGCATGATAAGGAATCAATGGTGAGAGAAAAATGGGCAAGATTATGGGTACTGTATCCTTGGATGTGAGGAAATGGTCATCACTGGTTACCCTTTTCACAGAAACATGACTCACTTTATGAAGAATTGGCTGGCAAGA